AGTGATCTCTCGCCTGGCCAGTTCACCTTCTCACCATCCCCTTTGTATGTTACATCGAAACGCATTAAATCTCCCTCAAGTTCGTCCATTTTCATCCGATTGAACAACATTACTGCATTCTTTTTAAAAAAGATATGCGTGGCGGCGATTTTCAGTTGCGGACTCAATTCCCTCGATAACTTTTCAATAAACACAGCCGTTTCGTTCAAGCATACGCAGAGTCTGACATCAGATAAAGCGTCCAAGAACAACTTGTTGCTTTCAGATTGGCGCATTACTTTTATCAGCTGAAAACGATGTGGGACGGCGAATTGAAATACTGCAGATTTAAACATAAAATCCCTGGAATCGAAGGTACTCGGCACTGGCTGCAGCTGTAGCAATTCTCCTAGATTATGACTTGTTTCCCTCCAAAGGGTAACTCATGATTTTCTTGGTCGGCTAAATTGTGATGCAAAGAGTTAACAAGTTCAAGCATCCTTGAACTGGACATGCTCGCCTCGTCCCAAATTATAACGTCCACATCATGTACTCTCTCGCACATTCTGCCATCACTTGATGCGCGAGTAATCAGTAGCTCGGCCGGCAGATCTGCAGCACCAAGACCGTAAAAAGAATGGACTGTCGAAGCGACACCTGCATCATACACTTGACAAGCAATTCCACTCAAACAAATCACGGATACTCGCAGACCACGCTGTTGACAATCATCTCGAATTGCGGCAACCACTCTTGACTTTCCTGTTCCAGCTTGACCGGTGACGAGGAGGTTGTGCCCACTCTTGGCAAACTGAAAAACTTCAGTTTGCTCAAGAGTAAGATTTTCGCTCATTTCGTCAACAACGTGAAAACCAAGAAGTTTCTGGACGTTTCACGTAGTGATGCAAAACAACGGCAAGGAAATATACGAAAGCGTGCTGCAATTAGACCCATTGTTGTATTTCACAGTTCTCGTTGCCTTCGCCGCTTAACATTACACGATTTTATATTTAGTATGAAGAAACTATAAATATGATCTATGTTTTAGCGCCACTTAGAATGCATTTTTAGAGATCTTAATTACCCTGGACAGCGTTAAAAGTGTTTTAAATGCATTTAGGAAGAAATCGTCATTGGAGGCCCCTGAGTTTTCAAAATAATAATAAACATAACCAATAAAAAAAATATCGCGCACATAACTTTTTTCCTTACCAGCTGCATAGCCGAGGCTATATTTTGCCTTTTTCCTAGGCGGCAAATTGTTGTCCCCCCTCATCACTTTGGACAAGATATTGTCGGTGTTCTGGAAATAACTGTTTATTTAATTACTTTAAGGAAATAGGTCCAGTAGAGACAGAACCTATGTAAGCGGCTGGACAAACAAACGTTACAAGAATCCGAAAACCAGGGCCGCCCTGTTGAAAACTTATGGACGTTCGCGCGATTGCCTTTTGTTTTCTGGTGAAAACTAACGCAGCGGACCCTCGCTCAGTGTTGATTGACCTAGAAGCAATTGTACCACCCCTCCCACTGCAAGTGTTGGATTGTCGCGCGGACGCGGTCGCTAAGCTTGAATATTCACGTCGCGTATTATACCTGGTAGTTTGCGGTCATATCGAAGCGTAAAGGCCAACAGTATTTGTTGATGAGCGAGCGATTATTGTGCAGTTGCGATGGGTTTTGTGGAGCAAGCAAGCAAGGAACCGGAGCACACGTTACTTGCAGACTAGCCGATGGCAATTTGGAGCGGATTCGTCGATTATTCTCGAATTTATAGTGCTTCGCGTGANGCAAAACAACGGCAAGGAAATATACGAAAGCGTGCTGCAATTAGACCCATTGTTGTATTTCACAGTTCTCGTTGCCTTCGCCGCTTAACATTACACGATTTTATATTTAGTATGAAGAAACTATAAATATGATCTATGTTTTAGCGCCACTTAGAATGCATTTTTAGAGATCTTAATTACCCTGGACAGCGTTAAAAGTGTTTTAAATGCATTTAGGAAGAAATCGTCATTGGAGGCCCCTGAGTTTTCAAAATAATAATAAACATAACCAATAAAAAAAATATCGCGCACATAACTTTTTTCCTTACCAGCTGCATAGCCGAGGCTATATTTTGCCTTTTTCCTAGGCGGCAAATTGTTGTCCCCCCTCATCACTTTGGACAAGATATTGTCGGTGTTCTGGAAATAACTGTTTATTTAATTACTTTAAGGAAATAGGTCCAGTAGAGACAGAACCTATGTAAGCGGCTGGACAAACAAACGTTACAAGAATCCGAAAACCAGGGCCGCCCTGTTGAAAACTTATGGACGTTCGCGCGATTGCCTTTTGTTTTCTGGTGAAAACTAATGCAGCGGACCCTCGCTCAGTGTTGATTGACCTAGAAGCAATTGTACCACCCCTCCCACTGCAAGTGTTGGATTGTCGCGCGGACGCGGTCGCTAAGCTTGAATATTCACGTCGCGTATTATACCTGGTAGTTTGCGGTCATATCGAAGCGTAAAGGCCAACAGTATTTGTTGATGAGCGAGCGATTATTGTGCAGTTGCGATGGGTTTTGTGGAGCAAGCAAGCAAGGAACCGGAGCACACGTTACTTGCAGACTAGCCGATGGCAATTTGGAGCGGATTCGTCGATTATTCTCGAATTTATAGTGCTTCGCGTGAAGGTGCGTGGAAATGGTCCGTTTGTTTTGTAGGCAGCCTTTAATTCTTCTTTAGTGGATAGTACCTACAATTGCAGAACTCAACGAAATGCTACTTTAACTGGCCAGGAAAGACAAGGATACGTTCAGTTAAAGGTATCTTAGCTTTATTTTGTTATAGTTTGATTTTTGGACTATTTTAGTTCATTGGAGTTTCGACGATTCACTGCATTAATTTGTCCATGTGAATATTAATACATTCATTCAGTGACACATACTACGTCTGGGCCGCCTGTGCTTTTTTCAGACAATTTTGTCACTTCTTTTTATATGCCATTTTCACAAATGCATAAAAAATTCATGTTTATGCCTGTGTACTTAATATTTTGTGAATTAATACACTAGATATTGGTCTTTTAGGAGTTCTTCGGATTTTATCGTTAGTTTTAAGCTTTGCGAGTAATGACGCAATGAAAATGCGTTTTTAAAAGTGTTGTAACAACCTTACCAAATGTCAGCATCTCATCAAGCTTCAGATTTCAATGTATCATACGCTTGGATTAAGACCAATCTGCCCAGTTTTTCTTCTAGGCATCGATATCAACATTTCAAATAATATAACTATTCATGTCTTAACTTCTTATATTTGGGGAGTTCTTAGCACTAAAGACCTAAAAGACACCATGTTTTTGTCAGCAACTCACTGTTTTTGCTACCTCTTATTCTTTTCTACATCCTTTGAACTACAGATGCGACCAAATAGCCTAACTTTTAGGCAGCAACAATGTTACTAGTTGCACATATAGGAAATATAAAGTTTTTGGCCATTTTATGTCATTTAGAATTTCTACATATTTTTTACAATAAGTAATTGAGTTGTTTTTGAAGAGCATAACCTTCCTTTCTGGTGGCAGTGCACAGCAGATTTATCCAAATGAACTGAAATTTAGCCAGAGGCAATCTCATTATGTGCAAATATAGAAACTAAGAAGAATAAGGCAGTTAATAATAACTGATTAATTAACAATTGGAAACGTTTCAACCGATTAATCCCTTGACTAGTACTTTGACTTCTGGTGACCCCTTTTATAATGAAAAAGAATCTCCTTAATAATAAAAAAATAATGAATAATAACTACTTGATAATTAAATAATATTAACTGACAATTGGAAACTTTTAAAACTATTAATCCCTTAAATGGAACAATGACTTCTAGTCATCTCTTTAATAATGAACAAATAATAAAACAATAATTAATAATTAATTAATAGTAATTAATAGGGAAATTTTTAAAAAAAATTCAGAATTGGAATTTTTTCAACCTATTGATCTTTTAGATGGTACTCTAACCCCTTAATTTTTAATACAATTATTAAATAATTGATAATTAATTATTACTAAGAAATTAACAATTACAGAATACTAATTAATTGGAAACATTTCAACCTGTTAACCCCGTACAATAAATTATCTAACACTTTTACCCCAAAAGGACCCAAAAAGGTCAGCATCTCACCAAAATATGTCAGCGTATCAACACAAGAGGTCATGACCTTTTCGTGACTAAGACACTTTGCCCCATCTCTAGTGAGATTGCAAGTGGTGAGAACATGCTTTTTTTGCTGCGTAAATTGTCACTTTTTGCACCTTGTAAAGGCTAGATACAGGCAATTGAACTATTAGATAGATTTTCTAAACTGTTCGAGCTACTCCTGGTAATATTTTTTGGCCCCGATACACAGTTGCTTGTGCAAAGTCGCCAACAGCATTTTATGGGGCGAAGTTGTTAATCTAATTAACGAATTAATTAAACAATTATTAATTAATTATAAACGGGGAGGTTAAAATACAGCAACGGTTAACTATATTACAGTGCAAGAAACATTTTGCTACCAATTTTGTTATAATCAAGTTGTGAACTAAGGAGAGATGACGTAAAAATTCCCACGCTATTTTGAGGGTCTGGATGGGGTTAACTGACAACTGACAAATAGGCTAAAATTTAACTGACAACTGACATTTGTAGAGGGTTTTACTGACAACTGACAAAAGATCTTCTTGCCCTAAATATCCTTCAAAACCCATTGTAAATAACAATGTTTTACTCTGTAAGTCAAACAAATGCACTTCTAATATTAAATCTTAGCAGCAGGACGCTTAAGTGTCATATTTCGTTAATAATTTACTGTATGACCCATGTACATCGGTCATAATTTTTACCTCTGATCTTGAACTTACAAACTCACGCTGAGCAGTCGCGAGCATGTGCCAGCTTACATGATGGCTGCCAGTGCTGGCATTATTAAAGCATTTGTAAGCTTTTACCGCATTAATTCGGATACGGCATTCGAAAGACATAGGAGCCGTATCCCGATAAATGACTTAAATACAGTTCATGCTCTCAAAAAGCACCTTATTCAATTCCTTGGTCTGAAGGAACTAAAAATTAAATACAACCTTAGAGATTTCGATATAAAGCTTTATCGGATGGCACCGAAACTGGGAGGGAAAAGTGATAACTTCGCCATCACAACAGACGACCAGTGGAAGCTGGAGCTTCCAAGTATGCTGGATGACTCAGGAAACGAAATGAGCAGTATGTATTCTTAAGTGCTAGTGTATTTGTTTCATGTAGTGGTGTAAATATAAGCATGCACCTTCTGGGTACTGCTACGCTTTCAGAATACTTTCGCTCTTGTTTTCACATAATGCACTATGTAACATTTATTTTTCTTGACATTATTTATGTTATAATTACGGTGGCCTGATGTATGACTACATTTTGTACCTTTGAGGCAGCGGTGCGAACCACCGCGTGTGCTTGCTTTACGACACCTTTCCTGGAGGGATCGTTACACGTCAGATTTTAGTGGTGTCGGTTGATCGTATGTAAATTCACACATTAAAACATGCAGTACATCAGCTAAAAACAAAACATTATAGAAACCAAACACTTCACCCCTTCAAATGAAATACTAAGTCACTGATGATTGTATGCCGAGCAAGTCACTGGGCTTATTTCCTACTAGTCTGTCCACAGACCCTCTATTTTGTCTAAAGTTCATCGAGATCACAAACAAAATAAAAACCGCCGGGGATCTGAAAGCGCGTGAATGTAAGGGGGTGGCCGTGGGGAAAGCAAATATATTCTTTTCTGCGCTCGCTTCGCGGCCATTGTCGCCCTCAGCGCATGCTTTTCCACGCTCGCTCTCGCGCGCTTGAGGAAAATAACCCTTTGCAAAAAATAACCGTCTGTGGACAGACTAATTTCCTGCGATTTTGTTCACACAAAGTATTAAATCGTATTAATCAAAATCAAACGAACAAAAGAAGAAAGAACTCATCCGATATTTGTTAGTCTTTCTCACGATATACTTCAAATATTTTGAAGGTGAATTTTGATGAGCTAAGGGTCTAAGGGTTAGAGAGGAATGTTATGCTCGGGCAAGCAGGAGACTAACGATAGAAAGCCGCTTGTAATGAATTCAACTCCAATTTTGAAAAAAAAAGGTTATTAGTGTAGCAATTTTAGAATTAGTGATACAATTTACATTTAATGTGCATTTTGAGCTAAATTTTGGATAAAAAAGGAATAACTAAACTACTTAATTATTAACAGCCAATTAACTGACAACTGACAAATGGCCTTAAATTTAACTGACAACTGACAAATGGCCAAAATTTTAACTGACAACTGCCATTTGTACCCCCCCATCCAGACCCTCTATTTTAGCTTATGATTTAAATTAGAAACTCGGAAAATTAATGTTTCTTATAGCCACTTGTGTAAACTGAACACATGCAAAATTTGGTTGCAAATGCTTTAACCCCATCAGAGTTATTAACGGTTAAAAGTTTTTTTTAAATGGCAGACGCAAAAAGTTCGTCACCAGTCCATTTTATCAGTATTTTAGTCAAAATGAGGCCAAACTTTAACCTTAAATATCTCTTAGGGCTTTTAACGGAATGGTTTCAAACTCACGGGGTGAATTGTTACACTCAAGGGCTATCATGCCATATTCTGGGGGAAGCTTTTTCCAAGGGGACACCTATAAATATTGGGTAATGGTAGTCCCTTTTTTTAATAGCTTCAATTACTTTTCTCGGTATTATTCAATACTTTCAAAAACTTTCAGTGTGTCGAAGTTGGATGAGGGGGATGAGGGAGGGTTTCCAGGACGAGGAACCGTTTTTACTTTGCTAATAATTTTCCTTTCTTTTCATGTAGTTTGTCTACCCATGTGGATTATTCTGCTGGCGAAACTTTTACCTCTGATGAGTTTTTTAAAATCAATATTACATTTTTCAGTAGGGCAGGTTTTTCAGAAGGACCAGCCTTTTTAATTTGCTAACATTTCTTTTCCTCTTTATGTAGATTGATTGTAAATACATTTCTTTGTTACCAAAAGTTACTTGCAGTCATTACTAGTTTGGTAAGTTCTTTTCAAATCTATTGTTCACCCGGACAGAATGCCGGTAGGTTGGCCAGTATGACGTAGGCTAGTATGTTGGCTAATGTAGGATCCTCTGAGGAGTTAACAGTCAAAGTGGGAAAACCATGAACACCACAAATATTCCTAGGAGTGTTATTATAATACAAGAAACAAGCCACCAGGTGGGAAAAACTGATTGCAAGCTACAAAAATTAATTAGTTTGTGGTTTTGTGGCTTGTCACATCTTACAATTTTTGATGGCATTGGTCTTAACACAATACACTTTGCGGAGAAGTGTTCTCGGTTTTGGTGATTTGACTTTAACAAGCCGGGAAGATTGTTTTATTTTAGGGCTTACCTCTGAGGCAAAGGAACTTCCCCGTTTTGGGTAATAGCCTCCAGGCACCGCAGAACTACGTTTTTGAAGGCGCGATACAGTATTTTGCTGGTCAGTGTAATTGCCTTTTAAAATTAAAAACACCGGCAACTTTAAACGCGAGCCCGGTGCACAATAAAAAAACCAAAACTTAGAGCGAAACTGAAAATTTAGTGCCTGAAATTCGCCTATCGTTTCTATTATTCATATTCCATATTTTATATTGTGGCAGAGTAAAACTGACTTTGCACAGCATGTGAAATTGTCTTGCGTAAGACTATCCGCGCGACTTGGTTTTTGCAAAATACAAATTTTGTTTTGAAGAAACTGCTGTGTTCAAATGCCAAAACAAGGCAGCTTTCAGATGGCTGTAATGGTATTTTAAGAAAAGCAAACCCTCAAGTATGTAGAGCTGGTAGTCTGCAGCCTAAAGAAATGGTTTGTCAGCGCCATTTTGATAAAATTCGAAGAGAGGACGACAGGAGATGCTCATGTCCATCTACTTGGGGACACTCTTCAAAGCTGCACAGCCACGCAATTCCTCATTTCTTTCCCACTCTTGACCGAGCTGGTTTTAATTTTCCTAACTATCAACCTGGAACACGGCAGTGCACCAAATGTCGCAGTGAAGCTCCACAAAGAATACAAAACTGGCCAAAAAGTGACAAATTGTGAAAACATCGCTACTGAATGTAGTCAATAAGATCACATGCAGGTTAGTTTCCTTAATATGTTCATTTTTTGTAGGATGTTGTTAGAAGAAAACCTGGAATGAACCTGTGATATTGATTTATTTATTAGTGTTGTGTACTTCAGAGTTTATTTACTTATCTCAAGTGTCTTTCTCCTATAATAATAATTATTACATTGATCTTTTGCAAAATTGTTTAAAATTTTTTGTGCTGTCAAAGTTTGTTATTACCCAATACTACCTACAGCAAGTTTGTAAATTGATATAAGCTAGTAATTTGGGAGATGAACAGTCACAAAAATTATAAATGATACTATCCGTTGTGAAAAGCAAAATTATTGTGAAGAGAAATGAGACTTTATTTCCAATATTTAAAAAGCACAGGTGGTAAAAGGACATAGCAAAACATTATAATGAGAAGGCTGGTGAAAAATACTCCAAGGAGAGAGAACCTGAATCACCATGAAATTCTGCATAAGGCTTTATTATTTTATAAAGACATGGTGACGTTGACCTAAAATTTAATTATCATTTTTCAGGCTCTGATGGAAACAACGAAGCTTGACTTGTGGGACTCACTGCTGAACCAGAGCTGGAGCCACAAACAGTGGTATAGGCATAGTTTTCTTAAGTGACTGTGTTACATAAAATTAATTTCCTGTACTGGCTTTAAAGAGTAGAGTACTTGTACGTATTTCAAACAAAATGAAACATTAATTTTGACTCTTCATTTCTTCTATCTTTGTGTGCCATCAGCAGAATTCTCATTACTGGACGATTGCAGAAGGGCAGTATGGTCCAATGTTGTTGGTCGGTCCAATTAACTGTGGCAGAACCCACATTCAAAGAACAAGTTGATGCCCTAACTAGACAAATGGACGAATCTGAAGATCGAAAAAGACTAGTGAGTCAACCAGTTTTTAAAGAGTTCCTCGAGTCCAATGCCCATACACTATACAAGAAAATCCTTGACAGTATCTTGTCAGTGTCATGGTGAAAAAAGGGCCAACCTGCAAGAGACGAGAGCAACAGCTCTTATTTGCAGCTTCTATATTACAGGTACTTAAGGGTGCAATAATTTTGGTAACTACATGTATAGAAAGTCACAAGGCCTAAAGCATTCACAAACAATTTATCTGGAATCCCATTCAAAGAATCTTATCCAAACCTCATGATCATTGGAGGCAGAAGTGGGGGGACATCATTATAGCAATATTGTGGGAAAGGTGGGGATTTAGTACTAGTAACACTGTTTTCCTGACTTGAATACCATCGTCCGCTGTAGATAATATCTTACAATACTGATCTACACTACATTGTGTAATAATATTGTCTGTAAAGGCACCTACGTGAAGTACTTTCTATGGAATAGACAAGCGATGAGATTTAGAGTTCAATATTATTTCCTCGTTTTTTCGGAAAATATGTGACTTACTAATGCTAAATGTGTCAAGTCTATTTGGTATGACTTTCAGAAATCAGAGACACGCTGAATTTATGGATGAAACCTCCATCTTCTTGGAACTTAATGGTCTGTCATCTAGTGGTATAGCCCTTGGTAAAGTGTTGGGATTTGCAAGAGATGAAAAAACCAAGACTCATCAGAAGCACAAAATGGCATCTGACCATTTGACAAGGGCTTAAAAAAATGGCTTGTGAAGCTTTTCAAAACGTAAAAATAATACATGAAAAAAAGGTTCCTGAAGGTCCCCAACAATGTAGTTACAAAACACAACAACAATCCGTATGATAAAAAGCATTGTCTACCTATAAATTAAGCATGTGATTTTGAGATCTTTATAAAGTATAATATAATTATTTATAATCACTTTCTTTCCTTTTCAACTTTGTCTTAACAGAAATCCTTTCAGATACTATCTATGGACGATTTCCATGACATTAATGCAATAAAAACAACAACCAAAGAAAACTCACCAATGCTGTTCATATGGCGACTCTTCTTTTGGACATCCAGTCTTCTGTTCCTGCAGTTCCTCGTCCCATTGAGCCAGCCAACATTCACCGATGTGACATGGTTTCACAAGGTGGTGGTACACCCAAGGTCTGCAGAGGTGGAATTTCAAGTGATGCAGTGGTTAATGAAATGAGGGAATTCTGGCCACACTATAGTGAATGCTTTTCCTTGGAGAGTTTGCCTTGGCCATACAAGGGGATCGATCTATGTAGGATGCAGCAGTCCATGAAGGAACTACGGTAAGCAAGTAGAATAAATTCTTTTACTTTAAGTCCAAAATGTCATTTCCCTCACCTGGTATAATAAGAACTGCAGTGTGACTGCTCTATTTGCCTTGCTTGGTACAGACGATTGGAGTTTTTGCTTTGCTTATCAATTTCTCTTTTCTTTTCCTGTAGTTTGGATATCTTACTGTTTGCCGTTTGTGTAGTGCAATAAATTTGCCAAGTTTTTACCCGAATGGTAAGTTTTGAAAACATCATGCCTACATAATGTCCCTAGATATGCAATTTTTACACAAGGTAGTATGTTGAATAATGTAGCATCCAGTCGGGAGTTTTTACTTACCTAAACATATCTCTTTTCTTTCCATGTAGTTTGGATACCTTACTGTTTACCGTCTGTGTCGTGCAATATATTTTTCAAGTTTTTACTCTCTAGTATGTTTTTATTTTGAAAACAATTTCTTATGCCTAGAGAATGTCCCTAGATCTGCCAGTTTGGCATAAGCAAGTATGTTGGATAATGTAGGAGCCTCTGAAGATATTTTACTTTGCTAGGTTATAATACATCCAACATTTAATTTTTGTTAGTGTTTGCTGAACGTCCATACTTAAGCGACTACCATGATGACTAGTAAGCACATAAAGCCTATTTTGCTACTCTTAATGTGCTGAACATCCATACTTAAGCGACTAGTGCAATGACTAGTAAGCACACAATTTAAGTCTATTTCTCTACCCTTAATGTGCTGAATGTCCATACTTAAGTGACTAGAGCAAGGACTAGTAAGCACGCCATAAAGATCTTTTTACGGTAATGTTGAGGTATCATCAATGCAAGCGGGTTAATTTGTTGTCCTTAGAAATTGTCGACCTACTGATCGAATCCAAAGGAAAGGATAGGAAAGAAAGATGGAAAGAGTTCCTGAAATACGTGGACGAAAATAATCAACATTATGATCCAAGAATGATATCTACGGACGTGGTGGACTTTCTTTGCCGAAATATGGCCAGTCACGAATCCCTGTCCACAGAATACAATCTAGCTGCCATGGCCTGGGCGCTAAATGAAGCCATTAGCAACCACTTTCACGCAGAATTTTTTGTATCCCACATGAAATGCCTAAAACAACCAGCGGTGCTTGCGCAAGACAAACCAATCGACGTTGAGACCTATGGCCAGGTTGATAAGGCTGAGATCAAAGAAATGATCAAAGAAATGTGATGGCATCGGAGAGTAAATGTGGACAATCTGCCCGATCAAGATGGACTACCAGCACCGGCAACCCAACCATCAAAACCAGCGACAGCAACCGCCACATCAATATCCACAAAGAAGACCCAGCCGCAGAATATGGAGAAGCGCCATACTAATAAAATCAGAAATTGTCCGTTGTGTGGAAAACAGCAGTCACAGCTTCCTTCACATTTAAAGATCCATGTCAGAAAAGGCGAAATTGCAGAATTTTAAAATAGTTTTCCTGGTCAGCCTGGCAGACAAAGGCGAGGCAACTCACCAGAGTAACACGTGGGTGTCAAAAAAAAGACAGCTGGTAAAATCCAAAAGAAAATATCGTGTTTGCCCTCTGTGTGAGATGGCGACCTGTTATCTGGATTCCCACTTGCACCACAAACACAAGATACAGCAAAATTCAGAGGAAAGTGTACACTTTAAGTCTCTGACAAGAGAGTACCAGGGGACGGAGGAAGAACTAAAATTCATTAAGAAAACAAAACCAGCTAAGAAGTCCAAACTAGGCGTTGGTTTCCAATCGTCCTGGGTCCTCATTAAGGATCCAGTGGAGCCAGACACATCCTCCACCTCCAGTTATGAACCATCGTAAAAAGCCCTAGCACATGAAAGTTCCTCTAGCTGTAGCGAAGACGTAGTACCTACCACCCACACCCACACCATCGCCCCATTCTAGACATCAGAGGGCCAAGGAAACTGTGGAAGCCACCTACGCGCCAAAAAAGTGTGCCAGTCATATTTCTGATTCTATGGAAGAAGAAGGCGAAGAAGACCGCGACCTGGCAGAAGAAGATAGCAAAGAAGACGACGACCAAGCAGCAGATAGTGATGAACACAAGCAGCAGGAAGAAGATAGCGCTGATGACGAACACCAGGAAGACAGTACCAATGAAGAGGAAGATGAAGAGGATGAGCTTGATAGTTACCAAGTGAATCTGAGCGAGTTGCTGCGTATGGAAAATTCTGAGACCCCAAGGCGGCAGTGGCTAGTAGGCTATTACCATTACCTACAGTCCCTCTCCAGAAAAGCCCTGTCGCAGAGGCATGCGGAACAACATGCCGGCAGGTTTACTTAATGCTCACCACTATTGACCCCCGAGGTATCGACATAATTGCCATTACGGACAGCCAGGGCAGCAGGGTATGGCAATGAGCAAAGCCCCTCTTGTAAGAAAAAAAAAAAGAGATCCAGGACGATCATTTCATACCTCACGTTGCTGGAGAAGTTTTTTAAATTCGCTGAGGGTGTTCAATATGACCAAAATCCATTGTACTATGGGGACAAACAGATCATAGAGTCCATCAAGAGGGTCATTTCCAACATCTCTGCCTGGGGGTCTCTAATACACAAACAATACAAGACTGATGAGTGGTGCAGACAGCTGCGGGAAATGAAGGAGAGGGTGCGCCCTGATGATATTGTAGACTTGGATGAAACCGAACCCGCCAAAAAGGCAAAAGACCTCCTGGAGAAGGCTCCTTACAAGCAACTCACCTTATTGCATCCTTGGAAATGCAGAACAGACAGCGTCTAGGGCCACTGGAAACGGTCATCATGGAAGATTATAACAACGCAGAAGTGGATCCAGTGTCCAGCACAACAACTATCTATGCACCAGACCATAAGACCTCAACATCTGGACCTGCTGCCATATCCATGTTCAAGGACCCAGATGATGCATTGTTTCTCACCGAAAGTGGTAGACAGTTCGAAAAAGGTACCATAGGGAGGAGGATTCCTGAGTTTTGGGCCACGGCAAAAGTCAGATCAGACATCCGAATAACTGCCACCAGGATGCAGAAGATGGCTGCAACTACAACGGTGTATGACACAGACCAGGATAAGCCCCTCATCCATCAGCACATGACGCATACGGAGAGGACTGCAGAGCACCCTTACATAAGACCTGATGCCGCTACCATTGCTGCTGCAGGCCACGCCGTGCTTAAGTCGAACATCGGCTACTGCAAGTCAGATGACAGCAACGTGGAAGGAACCAATAAAACCCTAAGTGAGGAAGATCATGCACTTTTGGAGGAACTCTTTAATCTGGAAATAAGTAGTAACAAGCCATTGGTCACCAAAGAAGTTGCCAACAGCCGCCTACTTCAAAACATTTGGAAACCCCTGAGCGTCTATCTTAAACAAGAAAATGATAAAAGGAAAAATTGTTTACTTTCAATGAATTTTCAACCCAGCTGGAGGATAGTCAAACACTATAATTATGGCTAACTGCTGCCAGTTTGCTTGACATCTCACATGGTAAGTGTGTTGCAGCATATCATACGGGGTTGGGTTTTGCATCCTGTTCAAGCCTGAATTTTACAGGCTAGAATCAAAACCGCCCCAAGTCTGCATAACTGAAGGGGTCTCCCATCCAATTAGTTTTCTTGCTTTTATTAAATCATTGGTTATGCCAGTCTGAGAAACAGTTGTTCCAGTTTCTCAAGCAATAACACAATATTGTTATTATAGCACAAAAGAGAATGTTTATTTCTATTATATGAATATCTTTCACATACATGGTGCAAAGTATTTTTATGCGAGTTTCATCGGGAACAGGCTTGGGAGAGATGGACAGCCAAGTCAGTGAATGGGGCATCAATACAAAAAGAAGAAGTACTTGCAAAACTTCGCTTAGTGGCAAGTTCAGAAACTGAAGAGATCTACAAACAAAGAGTAAATACTTTAAAAGAATCAAATCTGTGGAAGGGAAACAGCCATCTAAGTAACTGGTTTGAAACCAAGTGGTTAAAAGAACACAAGGTTAGTGCAAGTAGAAGGCAGAAAATGTTTATTTCAGCTTTTCTGAAAAAAAATAAATCAGCAAATATATAATAGCTTGAAGTAGCCTATCGATAATCGATAACAGTAAAGCTGAATTAACTTCAAAATCATCATCTGCATAAAAATTCATTTTACACTTCACAAAATTCACGAAACTGAAGAGGAAAAGTGACAAGAGGAGAGGGACAGCTACCTTCCCCTTGCCCATTAATATTTCACTCTCCCCTGTATCCCCTTTTATAGCTGTCATAGATAACTTGTCCCTAGATGCATCTTTTATTTCTAGCACTGGTTAAGAGCATTCCACCATGAAATCTCGGTTCACACTACAAATGGTGTAGAGAGACAAAATGAACTGAAGTACAACTTCCTAGCAAAGCATTGAGACAAATCCCTCAGTGGACTATCTGTTCTTATCACAGAGTTTCTTCCAGACAAATATGCCAGGTACAGGTATGGTGAGCAGACAGTGCCCAAATACACTGTGTATTTCACATGCTTTATGTAGTGCTGTAAATGTTTTTAGGAGATTGAAGTACTTTTTAGTGACACTGTCCTAGTAAAAGTTTATTAGAGATTAAGCCTCACGTATACGGCAAATGGCAAATGTCAGATTCAAGTTGACAATTTCGCAAAATAGAAAATGAGTGGATAAAAACTGGTCAAAACAATTCTTGTGGATAAAAATGGCATGAGACTACTACTTTGTGTGTATAAAACTGAACAGGGAATGACAAGTAATGGGGAAACTTGGTTGCATGGAATGAATTTGTGTTTGCCGTTAGACGTGACTGTGATGCTTAACCTCTCTACTGTTCACAGGGTCCAGAGGAGATGTGTTTGTTGTTAGAACATCAAAACCCGTTGAAAACATCTGAAAAAATGGGTTATTTTGATCGCGTTGACGATCGCATTACAGTTTCGTTACACATTCTGTATACCGCAAACCAAGAGACTGAGGGCTCGCAAGATCGGCTTACAGTACAAAATACGGAGAGGCAGGAAACAAATTTGGGGCCGATTTTCGAATCCCTGAAACTCAAATGGAATTGAATGAAATCGCCTGATTTTACTAACCTGATCTAGAATTGTTATGTATTTGCCAAATACTGTAGGAAAACGGCATAAAAAAGCGTTTAAATTCATTTTCGGCGACCCAAATTTACGGCTTTGAGATAGCGCCTTCTTTTAGAAGATGCCTAGTTAACACTTTGAGTGAGTGGCAGTGAAGGGAAGGTTGATGTTGTACACATCACGTTATAGAAAGCATTTGAAATGTTTTTGATGGAAAAAGATCGCCAAGCTTGAGTTGGCCCCAGATAGACAAAGAGCTATTGTTTACGTTGATTCTATCGCTTGTTCATTGTTTGAGCTTATTTCAGTGGTTCACTGTCTATTTCTTATTTAAAAACCTGTGTTGGCTTACACGTATTTTTTTCGTTTTTTCGATTGATAACTGTATTCCATTGGACAGCAGAGCGTACATGCCAATGTGTTTAAATTTAAACTTTTTAATTTTTTAGTTAATATGGAAATGTGCCTTCTTCTATCTTGCGACGTTCTTTTTAAGAGGAGTCTTAATTGATAAATTTGTCGATGTAATTGTATACTTTATCATGTTTTTCTTTGGAAAAAAACAGCTGATACAGTGAATTTTTAGTAACAGAAATAGGATGCTTTTTTTCTTTCTTATACAGTGCTGCTTGCAACCTCAGTGAACAACAGCAAATAATTTTGGATCTAGTGAGCAAGGGACACAATGTATACTTTGGTGGGATAGCCGGCTGTGGAAAAACCTTTGTTGCTCGCCAAATTTTGGAAGTCTTAACTAAGAAAAAAATAGAGATTGCCTGTACTTGCACAACAGGAATTGCTTGTACTCTATATGAGAGGTGTTCAGCAAGGACAATTCATTCCTTTGCTGGGATAGGTCAATGCAGAGGGTCAAAGGAAATGTTGTTGAGAAATGTCCTGGCAAACAACGAATGTGTAAGGAGATGGAGAGAGACAGAGGTACTCTTTATAGATGAAATTTCTATGTTGAGCCAAAGAATTCTCGAAATCATAAATTATGTGGCTCAAAATGTTCGTAACTCAGAGTATCTTTTTGGGGGGGCTCCAGCTTGTGGCCTTTGGGGATTTTTTACAGCTCCCTCCTGTGCCAAATACTGTAGACGATGGAAAATATGCCTTTGAGAGTGCTGTGTGGGATTTGACTTTCCCTCATCAAGTAATACTGGAAGAAAATTTCCGTGCTAAAAATGATGAGGAATTCATAAACCTTTTGAGGGAAATTTCCAGGGGTCAGTGCAGTGAGCAGTCTGCAGAAATAATTCAGAGTCTGTCTAGGCCACTCAATCTAAGTGATTTTGGACTTTCATATATTCCAAAGGTGTACCCTCTGAATGAGGATGTAGATTTTCCAAATATGTGTGTGCTGGAAACTTTACATGGAAGGGATGTTTCAAACATGACGGAGGAAAGCAAAGGGAAGATTCGGTACTGTGGTGCTTGGGCAATTGCCAAAGTTAGAAATGCATGCAGAGAGTACTTCAAGACAAACATTTATTCAGCAAATGCTGATGTCCAGTTCGAAGCTAAAGAGGTATATGGCAAGAGTCAACTACTAACACAGATAACCTGGTCGAGCAGCAGTGCTCAACAGCTTTCAAGTTATCAAGATACTCTAAATGTGACATTGTCCAGAAAATATGACAAAGGTACTCTTGTTCACATCACGGATGAAATGTTTGAGTGGTTCCTTAAATTAGAGCAGGACAGAGTGAACCTTCTGAGTAGTGAAAGCTTGGCCTCTCACAAAGAAAATCTGGTAGAAAAGACACTGTCAAGTATTTTAGGAAACAACCATCTTCTAGGACAGTGGAAAGCCCTTTTTACAGTGAATGAGTCCTTAATGCCTTCAACAAATGGTCATGCTTTGGTGTTGCACTTATTTAATGATGTTGTAACTTATTATGTGAAAATGGGGGTTGGTGAATTTTTGAGGGAATTTCGAAGAGACTTCAAGCTCCAGAAAACTGAAGCTCATCGGAAGAAGGTAGTGGAGAAGAAGAAGAAGAAGAAGAAGAAGAAGAAGAAGAAGAAGAAGAAGAAGAAGAAGAAGGATTTGGTTTCGAGCAAAATAACAGTTGAATCCATTAACAAAGACACCTCTGTTAACAAAGGAAATTTCTCATTGCAGGCTAATGACAATGCTTGACCAGCAGGAATCTATCTTTCAAAGCAATGTATATTCTAAAAGTGAATTGCAGTTGCTATGCAAAGCTTATGGTCTGGTCTTCAGAAGAAGTGATTCCAAGGCATTGCTATCAGAAAACTGGTGCCCAAAATCTGTGAATCGCGGTATGTGCTTCATCCACAGACCTTGGAGAATCCCAGCCAGCAGCCTGGACCTTCCAGACAGACTGAAACCACAGTTTCTGAAAATATGGCAACCAATGAGACAGGATCCCAACCAGGTACAGTTATTTACACTGAATATAATAAAGTAAAATATTTTCTTCCATATTCCATCAAATTTTTGTTTCTTAAAGATGCTTTAGTGAGCATGCTGTAGTTTGCTGTTTTATTCGACCTTAAGTTTCCACTTTTGAAGAATGTCAGATTTTCAACTGAACCAGTGTTACTGCAGCTTGTGGTGGTTGTTTGGCGAAGTAAAATGCTGTTCATGGTTGGGCCATATTGTGCATAAGTTGGATTAGAATTCTGTCCGTTGTTCCCCGTTTCTTGACAGAATACATTCTCAACCAAGTCACTGTTTGTGCGAAATGGAGAGATGGTCGATCCAGGAAAGCGTATAAAAGCTATTTTGCAAACTTCTTGAAAACCAATTATCATAGATGAAATGTCAAATCTAAGTTTTTGTGATAAGAGGCGTCTAGCACAGTCTGCCTTGCTGAGTTCCTGGTGAGACTGTGCATCCATTTCCCACTTCTGAAAGTACTCCAGTATTTCATGATTCATAGCCAGGCGGTGGTCGTCCAGACTGCTGATTGGTCTTATATCTGCGAATGTGTATATGAGTTTACTTGTCATATTTATGAACGCGATGGTCCCATCCAAGTGTTCAGGCTCACTTCCTCGTCTTTGTGACATGTATCTTTTATATGCCTGTGTAAAACAAACCAAAACAAGGAGCAAGTTAATCAATGATCCAGGGCCAAAATAAAATAATAATTATTAATAAATTAACTTATTTTCTCCTATTTTACCTGCAATAGGTACAGCATCTTCTTTGAAAGGACATCCTCAGCCAGATGGTTTCTCATACGGCTAGCATAGCCCAGACTGAAGTGCTCATCAGTTAACCTCTCATGTGACTTGAGGGAATTGCTCGACTGGTCCCATTTGTAAGCTTGGTATAAGTGTCTCCACTCGATTGTTTTGTCATCAAAGCAAAGCAGTCGCACTCCACCCGAGCGGCTCTTTTCAAGATTGTTTCTAAGTTTCTTCATGTTATGCTATGACATAAGATTATTGCATAATAAATAATTAGTAGTCAAAATATGAAAAGCAGTTTTTCTGAAGCCTATTGATAGTAACAGCAACAACTTTTGTACAGGTGCAATAACACTTTTAAAAATTTTTCTTCCCAGGAACGTTACCAGTGCTGGATCCAGACCTTGCGGTAAGGTAGGGGCCCGGTCACCCAGACCCTGAGAAAAGGGAGGGCCTGGTTTCCAAAAAAAATTTTTCCTCTGGATCCACTACTGGTTACTAATCATTGATTTCTGAATGGCAAAAAGAATAGTGTTCTTACAAGCAAAAGGGAGTTTTTACAGTTGTAAGAAAGACCTCGGAGGTGATTAATACCTCACCGCAGTTATTCAGGAAGTGAAAACACATAGTTATCATCATAGTCATTTACCGTCGATCATTCTAGTAAAGACTACACTTTTAACAACTTAAGCCCAGGCAATTATAATTCAGTGTCTGTCTTGAGGAGAGGTGTTGTTAGGTTATAGCCCCATGGAAAACTAGAATTAAAGGTACTTGTTACTTACAGAAGGATCAAGAAGAAACACCATTGGTTTTCTTGTGTAAGGGTTAGTGGTAGTGAACCACTGGGTCCACTGGGTCCTTTCCTTTAAAGTGCATCTTGATGAGGCTCCTATTAGCTTCCCTGCCATCACAACAACCGTAGTTTGTTTGAAATCCGAACATTCTGAGCCAGCCTACTGCCTTCCAAAAGTTGGTGTACAAGGAAGCTGATTCGGCTTCTTTGGTTGGAAAATGCACAAATGGAAAGCGAAAGCCATTGTTGCCCAGGAATACAAATTGTAGAACACGTGTTGCAACCTCAATTGTTTCCTTCCCCGAAAATTAATGCCAAGGGTGAAAATTTGTATTTCTGCTTAATTTCCAAAAAAAAAAAATGTATTTTTTTTTTGTTTTTGGGGGGGGGGGGTAAAAAATTTGGCCTGTGGGCAAGTTCTCCTTTTTGGGGGGGTGAAGCAAGCCAGGCGGGAAACCGCTGGCCAGCGGCGCCAAGGAAAGGGGCCCCCCCAATCCCCCCTTTCGCGTCCCCTCCCGTGTGCATCCCCCTCCGCTCCTTTTCCACACATCCCCCTAAAGTTGTGAAAAAAGGAAGGTATCTTGCTTTCTTTGGTTAAAAAACCACAAAAGGAAAAAGAAAGCCCTTTTTGCCCAGGAAAAAAATTTTTAAAAACCTGTTGTCCACCCTAATTTTTTTCTTCCCCACAAAATATAGCCAAGGGGTAAAATTTTTTTTTTTTTTTTTTTTCCAAAAAAAAAAAAATTTTTTTTTTTTTTTTTTTGGGGGGGGGGGGGGTAAAAAATGTAGCCTGTGAGCAAGTTCTCCTATTTGGGTGAGTGAAGCAAGCCAGGCGAGAACACGCTAGCCAGCGGCGCCAAGGAAAGGAGCTCCCCCAATCCCCACTTTCGCGTCTCCTCTCGTGTGCATCTCGCTCATCTGCTTTTCACAAAATCCCCCAAATGGAGAGCTTTCTTGCAGGCTATAAAAAATGTAGTTGTAGAGCCTAAAAGTTTAAAGGTTAACAAATATGATATGAAAAAAACCCTAGAAAGGAAACTTGTGGAGAAGTGTCGAGGATGTATTGGTTTTGAATAGAAAAGAAACTTCATCTGGCACTCAGCATATTAAAAAACAAACTATTTTCTTACATGCAAAGAAATAATTATGAAAGGTTGCTCTATAAATGCTGAGTAGCTGAATGCTCAGTGCACCAGACCCACTGTAGTTGGGTTGTTGCTTGTCCCAAGACCAAATTGACACAACTACTTATAACAAAACAACTGCTCCCGCCATATTTTCTTATTGCTTTTTTGCCTAATTCTCTTTTAGAGTATTAATGTGGAGTGCCTATTACAGCTGTAACTAGCTAGACCAGCTAGGCACACACCCAATGTAAAAAAAATCACTTGTGTTATATTTAAATAGACCCATTTACCTGTCACAATTTTTTGCATGCTGTTAAGCTCTTCTCCCAAGCACACTAGACCCACAAGTTTCTATTGTTCATTAACAAACTTCATCTGCAAGTCCTCCTGTATTAAATTTTGAAAACAAGACATCATTAAATGAAAATGTTATTTGTTAATGCTTTGATGTCAGAATATAATTATGCTTGTTCAGCTCCACATTGCAGAGGAATCGGGAAGGGGGGGTCACTCTATAAAAAAGCAATATTGGTGCATACAGTCCTTTTGCTAGGATATTAATATATGCTGCACCCACAAGCTTGATTGATGTTGATGAGAGTTGATTCTAAATGGGGTAGTATCTCTTAAGGTTTCCAGATAAGAGTATCACGATTCACGTACCTGTATGGCCATTTCATCTAGGATGATTCCTCCTTCTCTCTCTTCAGGGCCGATTTTTCTTTTAACAGCTTCCTGGGCTATCCACTGTCCTACTGATGCATTAAAACCAGCATCTTGGGTGCAGGAGTTTTTGTACATTCGCAAAAGCCTCCCTGATGGTAACAACAACATGTCACTATCTCTTAAGTCTTTGTAGGCCTCAGGGCTTCGGTTCCATATTGACAAACACAATCTTATCACTCTGTTCAAAATGAAAGAGTTAGTTAACATTGGTGTTCTGCCCCTTCATAACATAAATGGGTTAATCTTACATGTATGTAAGACCTGATATAATAAGTTATAATTAATAATCAGTAGGATGGGTCTGGTTTTGTGGTTAGTCGGGCACAAAAAGACAGCTATTTCTTTTGTCTTCATTCAACCTCCCCCCCCCGCCCCCCAAAAAAGTTACTCCTTGCGATCTAGTAATTTTTTAATTAAACAGATAAAAGTAACTTAGGGTGCCATCTGTATCCTTTGGAACTTGTCTGCAATAACGCCTTTTCCTGCGCCTCCCAGAAAACTTTCATGTCCTCGCTTAGAGATTCCTTTTCCACGCTATGAAAGATATGTAGAAAATCCTTGTGATCCTCCCCTTGAAAGGTCTTCATTTCTTCCTCTCCCTTCTGTCTTAAGTATTCCAGTCTCCTTTCTGCATTCTTCCTTCTATTTAGCTCCTGTGAAAGATTTCCTGCAACTCCTCTTCAGACATATAGCTAACTCTCTGTTTGGCTGCTGGCTTTTCCCCTTCCACCACAGAGGTAGCAGAACAATTTCTTTTAACCTTAGTGCATGATTCGCACAGTTGACTAGAGCTGCGTGTGTACTCTTGCAATAATATGTGTCACTGAGTAGAGCGAAGGTACAAAGCAACTGTACTATCATCACGACTGCGCCATTCTTCGGTAGTCTCAACAGTGTTGCCTCTTGCGTCTGGGTGTGAGTTTTGCGACTACCGAGAATCCTTTGCACAATCAAAACCTGTTTAAGACATGGAAGAGATAAACGACTGCTTTTTTTGGTGCCCCAACTTCGAAAACACCAACAGTTTCTTTTGCAACTTTTCGACTGTTGACGTGTACAACAAATGTCCAGTCTTTAATTATCTTTACTTCAATTAAGACTCGGTTGCCTTCGCATAGATCTTGTGACTGGATTTTTATCCACTCAAAGAAATCATCGCTTGAGCTAGATTAAAGCTAATCGAATTCTTTTGTGAAAGCTTCCAAGTCTTCCCATTTAACACGGTCTTCTTCCAATCTTGAGGTTTTTGAAAGTGGGTACTACCATACTCGGCCACCGTTAACTCTTCGCTGGACTCTACTCACCTGTGGAAAGGCCTCTTTTAAAATCATTCCCAATTCTCTGACTTGCAATGGAAAAGTTTCCTTTTCGGAGCAGTTATTTACATAGTCGTTGAGTATTTCTTGTAAGGAGATAAAGTTTTGTTTGTCTCTTCGATAATTAATTGAAAGCCTGTGGGTAAAACAGTCAAGCTCGATCAGGGAAAAATCAAACACAGTAATTTGTGGCTCACGTTTGAAAGCTAAGTGGTCAGATATCTTACCATTTAGAAACAAAGACGTGTTTTTCTCTGTTCGATAACTTGGATCTCTTCACGTCCGGCTGCTTTTCGCGCAGAATGTCCAGACATTCTTGACACCAAAAAAAATTAACTACAAGCTTTCTTTCCATTTACCCTTTCTTTTTCACCTTTCACAAAAGCTAAGGCAAAGGTTTACAATGCTTCGAATCCATCTTCATCGTTGTCGTTGTCAGAAGTGATGTCAGCTCAGTTTTGTTCAGTTTGAATTTTTTTGCATCGAGTATTGAAATAAATTTGTTCCAGTTGTCACCACCAACTTTGTCTCAATCGCATTAATTTCCTTCATTATGAAATTCTACCTCCTATTTCGCGTTAATTTAAGTCACGTTAACTTCCAATACCTTAATTTCATGGAGCGTTAATTTCCTGTAATAAGGTATTTCTATTTGTTAAGTAGTCTTTTCTTCGCGGCCACTTCGGATTTGTTAATGATATATGAAACAGATCATATATGAACTGCAGATATGAAATGAAAATGAAATGTTCGTCACAGGGAACACAATTTATGCAATTGCCTAAAGAAGCCTGAAAAAAATTCAGGACTTCAACGGGGTTTGAACCCGTGACCTCACGATTTACCGGTGCGATGCTCTACCAACTGAGCTATGAAGCCACTGATGTGGGAGCAGGTCAATTGGGGGTTCATATGTTCCCATGAAAAAAATGAGTGTTAATGAACATATGAACCCACAAATTGACCTGCTCCCAACGTCAGTGGCTTCATAGCTCAGTTGGTAGAACATCGCACCAGTAAATTGCGAGGTCACGGGTTCAAACCCCATTGAAGTCCTAATTTTTTTTTTCAGGCTCCTTTACTTTTCACTGCATTGCGATCATTTCATTTTCATTTTAGATTTGTTTCCTAAACATTGATTAAAGAGGTCAAGGTCATTCTGAGATTGATGATGATTCAAGAAAACCAAAGGAAAGTGAGTTGTCTTGGTAATGATTACAAAGGCAACAAGACAGTGAGGATGATGATGATTTAAGAATGCAGAAATGTTCTTGGTAATTAAATTATCTTGGTAAATTCAACGAAGGCAACAGTAAAGTGAGGTAGATGATGATTCAAGAACACAGAAATGTTGGTGGTAATTAAATTTCAAATTTGACATACTCATATATGGCCAGAATTACTTTGATTTCACTCTCAAACATCACAAAACGTTATTTCCAGGTCCAGTTTGGCCAAATACAAAGTTTGGAGAAATTTGAAATTTTGACCTAAAATCATGGGCTGACTCCTTTAGAAAAAATCCAAGATGGTAGCTGATCAAATTTGACGTACTCATATATGGTCAGAATTACTTTGATCACATTCGAGGGGAATCGATTGTGCCTTACTTGATCTTGGCTACAATGAACCAAGCTGGTGACTTGGCAAAACCCTCTGAATGGCTGTTGGTAGCACGTTAGCACTATCGAGTATCAGAGTAATACACTCACTGTTCAAGATGAGTGGGGGACCAGGAAACCAAACAATCACTTCCAGATGTGACGTAGAAACATCAACGCAGGAAAACAAGGCACATAAACGAGGCTAATTTTGCATGGAGGGTCAGATATTTTTGGAAGCTTTTGGGGGTTCTCTCTTCACTTTTTAGACTTAAAGCAAAAGTATGCCTGGTAGGCGTTGTGTTGTTGAAGACCATGGAAATGGAAAGAACGATTTGGGAATTTCTATTCATAATTCTCCCGAGTCAGGCGGTGTTAGATTAAAGTGGAAAAGTTTCATGTCCATGCACCAGAAGGATTTCGACCCAGTGGGAAAATTTGATGTGTGCTCGGAGTATTTCACAAAGGATTGTTTTCTGCTTGCTTTTCCAATGAAAGGCATAAAAAGGTATTTGAAGAGGGGGATAGTTCCAACCATTTGGAAAAAATTCTCTGAAACCCTATCAAAGCGATGTCTATCACCATTAGTCTTACATTTATTTCCTCATTTACCTGTGACATGATTTTTTCAGGCATCGTTGTTCAATATTCATGCAATAAATGCTATGACTATTTGGACTTCCCAAGTTGTTGCATGTGTTTTTATACTTTTCTACTTTCTTCTGATAGTTAATAGTAAAACGGGCATTTGTGCAAAACTGGGTATTTGCACTGAGTTGACGCGAAGTCAATTTCCAAATCTTTCCACTCAAGCATAAACTTTAGAAAAAGTGAAGCTGCAAAGAAATCTGGCTCTGTCTTTTTGGAGAGACTATCTTTCTGTTACTTTGAGATTTGACAGTACTCCAAACTTCCCTCCAAAAAATCTTACAGCAACTTTAAATATTACACACACGAGTCATTTACAACAACCAAAAATGGACTTAGTCTAACTTCTGCATCCCATAAGCTCAGTTACTGTTTACCCCTTCTTTTGTTTGTATTCTATTTCTATCTTCACTGTCTGCAAATGATGAATACATTTTAGGGCAAAGATATGAGTTCAGCTTGTTTCCATTTCTAATTTAGATAAGATCGACATAAAGCTTAAATTTCAACTTGTTTTGAAGGGAAGATTTAAAACATTTTCTTACCTATTTTCACTTTTAGCTACTAAATGAAATTCTGGCTGGTCAAAGTACTAATGAGAATATGGAGGAAGAAGACAATCCGGAAGAAGAGGTGCTATCTGTCAAAGGAAGTTCTGCACCTGAGGAGAGTGCTGACATCATGGGGGCTCTCAATTTCAACCCTCAGGGGGCCCCAGAAGTTGAAGGTGTTCTGAATGCAAGTCAGGGTTATTTGGCTGAGGTAAATCCTGAAAATGAGGGCTGCATCCTTGAGACTGAGACGATCAAGAAAAGTGTTCATGCCGAGATGGCTACAGATGTCCTAGGTACTCCTGGTGACAAGAGAGCTCTAGAGAGCAAAGAGATTTCAGGCACTGATGAGGTTACTAATGCCATGCAGATCCTGAGGTTGAGGGAATAAAAAAGGTTCAGGATATGGATAAAGTAATGCAGATTAATGAATTATTAACGATTCCTGATCTTGGACAAGTTTCTATGGTAGGTGCATAACTCTAATTAATTTCGATCATATAAATAATACAAATGTCAGCGAGGAGAAGCTCTTAAAACCAACTAGGAGTTACCGGTAATATGTTTTTGACACGCTTAATACTGAACAGTGTCTTTACATTCACCTCCTTTGTATTCTGCATCCCAGGCACAAAAACGAATCTGTGTTTAAGAGGATCCAGTAGATGACCTCATTGATTGACGTGAACCCAAAAAATTAAGGGTAAATTTGATATCTTTAATTTTTTTATTTGGTTTTAAAAAAAGTAAAAAGTGCTGCTAAAATAATGCATTTTTTAAACTTCTGAACGTACTTCAATATTACAGACGAAAATGTCTTGCTATGGGACAGGCCATTAGAAACAACTGGATTAAACAAAAGGGCTTCTAATGTTGTTGCCCGAAACAAAGTTGGGACTTTCCATGTAGTTAGAACTTTCCATGTAATTACAACCATTATCAATATTATTTACAATAATCAATGTTATTTCCTTTTTTTCCTTTTACCTTAACATAACCAATATTGTAATCGGCAATAACATCTAATCATGGAAATGCTAATAAATGTTGTTGTTGTTGAGACAATCCCCCAACCCCCGGCTCCTGATCGACCAGATATGTTTGTTCTGGTATTCATGTCCGTACAATAGCAAAACGAGACGACCAGCGGACAAAACAGTAACAAATAACGGTCCAAAAACGGAAAGCAAAAACTGAATTTTTGACGACATATAACAATTCAGTGACAGTGCTTCCGAGCCAAATTAATATAATAAGATAACATTCTTTTACAGGTTTAATCAACTGCTAATCCTATAAGACTAGAGGAATGACGAAATTATACAACATTTATAACTGAATGAGGAATGGTGGCAGAAAGGAAAGCTGTAATAAAAAGCAGAAAGTAGTTAAAGAACACATAATACGGGTGAGATGGTTACACTATGACCTGCCTAAAAAGACCTTTGTTCAACAAAAAACGGGGCTGGGATTCACTTGGTGAATGTTGCTGTTGATGGAAAATCGGAAAACCCAGAGGCAGCTGTGGCTTGTAGGCCATTATCACTACCTACAGTGCCTCTCGGGAAAAGCACTCTCACACAAGCAAGCCGAACAACACGTGAGACAGGTTCATTTGATGCTAACCGCCATTTACCCCCGAGGTTGTGACATCATCGCCATCACTGACAGCCAGGGTAGCAGAGTATGGCAATGAGCTAAGCCACTGTTGGAGGGGAAAAAAAAGACCCGGAACAATAATTTCTTACCTGTCACATTTTGGAGAAATTTTTGAAGTTTGCAGAGGACGTCCAGCACGACAGGAATCCAATACACTATGTGGACAAACATGTGATACAGTCTATGAAGAAGTTCGACACCAACATGTACACCTGGCAGTCAGTCGTGCGCAAACAGTACAAGACAGATGAGTGGCGCAGGCAGTTGTGTGAAATGAAAGAAAGGTTGCGGCCTGACAATGAAGTAGATATAGATGATACTAAACCTGCCAAAAAGGCAAAAGACCTGGAGAAGTTGCCACACATGGAACTCACCCCTGCCTGATATTGTGTTGTCTGCGACTATCTCATTGTGTCTGTGGAGATGCAAAATGAACAGCATCCAGGGCCACTTGAAACGGTTATAATGCCAGATTATCATGAAGCAGAAGGCGATCCAGTGTCAACAATTATCTATGCCCCGGACCATAAGACCTCCGCGTCTGGACCTGCTCCGATATTGATGTCTAAAACACTGAGTAAAAAAATGTCCACTTACATTAAGCATGTGAGAACAATCTTCAACCTGGATGAAGCCTTGTTCCTGACAGAAAGTGGCAAGCAATTCGAGAAAGGAACGATAGGGAGAAGAATTCTGGAGTTCTGGGCAAAGACAAATGTAACATCAGACATCAGAATAACTGCTACCAGGATGCGCAAGATGGCCACAACAACAACGATGATCAACATGGACAGAGATAAGCGCCTCGTGCACCAGCACATGACAAGAAGAAGACAGCAAAATGCTCGCATTTAAGACCTGACCCGCTACCGTTGCTGCTGCAGGCCACATTGTACTGAAGGCAAACCTTGGCTACCATTAGTCAGATGAATGCGATGGCGAAGGAGCTAAGACAACCCTCAGTGATGAAGATCATGCCATGTTAGAGGACCTTTTCAGTGTAGAAATGAATACTAACCAGCCACTGCTGACCAAAGAGGTTTCCAAGAAGATGGAGGGGTCAGTTGCTCTGTTACATCTAACCCAAGGCTGACATCTTTCTTCTACCTATGGCAACCAGCACATCAGGTGACTGGAACGCTCAATAGCCTCTGCTTCTTGCACATGCTGGTCCTCTGCCATGGACTGAAAACAAAAATGATACTTATTCATATGTCCTACAGCCTGGAACAGATACCTTATTGACCTCCAGGTCCTAGCTACTGGGGCAAAGAATGTACTGTTGTCAAGGCTTGTAAATAAATTTGTATATATTTGACATTCTCATTCAGTCATCCTACAGCCCAGAGCAGAACCATTATCGACCAATGGTCCCAGTCAAGTAGTTTCATTCTTAACAGGGGCACCCAACGACCGTTTTCTGAGAAATGATCTGAAATGCCTCGTTATGCATCCTGGAGTGCTTTAAAAGCAATATAAATGAATAATTCGCATTGCTTAAAAAAATTTGATCTGTTCAGTCCGTCCTAGGAGTGGGTTGAACCTTTCAAATCTTTTAGGGCTGTTTTTCCCCTTTCCCCAAAATAACAGCCTACGGTGAAAGCTTCACGAAAACGTAAGATTACCCGAGGAGCTTTTCCCTTTGCTGAAAATTTTAGGGGTATTGTGGGAATGTCTTCAAATTTTCTAGGGCAACGTAGCATGTATAGAAAATTATAGGTTATTAATAAGAATTATAATAAAAAATAAGAAGAACAAAAGAAAAGGCATTTAAGTGTTAATGCCAGTTTCAAATGTCTTTACCCTGTCGAACTCAATTCGCACGGCACTTATTGAAAAACCTAAAATACGGCATGACACTGATGACAATGCACATTGAACGCAGTCAGCTAAGGCAGCTGGCAGAGTTGGGATGGCCCAGGGCCCGGCCCAGTGATGGCTGAGGACAGCTGAGCAAAAGGTACAGAAAAGGTTGCTTCAGTGTCGCTAAATTGGGGTGTGATTTCTGATTTCTTTCAGTCTTTACACACTGTTGACATGTCTTTGAATCAGTGAAACAAATTCCCTTTGTTCATTCGCCAGGCTGATTCTCACTGTTCTGTTTTTTGTGTTCGTTTGAGGCTGATAATGGCTGCCGAAGAGAACGCACGTGCTTTTGAGCTCTCTGCAAAATCTGGCTTAAGACAACCAAGCCAAGGATATAGGTCTAAGTTTAGATGGTTAGGAGATTTTGAAGAGTTGAAATTGTTTGTAGACGGGTATTTGAAAATCACAGGAACATGGAGCTACATGTCGAACAATGGCACCTTTCATATGATGAAAGCTGAAGGTGCCTCCGTAAGCTTTTATCCTGGGATAGTATAGGATTAAATAGAGCTGAAAGCAATTGGGGAATGGTACATATATGTACTGCGGATTGTTTTTTCCCTAAATTTGGTTTATAGCAGGCAGGCTGACATTCCATTCTGTATGAAATTTTTAACTAGTGTATTGTTTTATCATTTATCAGGGTTGTAAATGCCGTGATGTGGCCCCTAATGAAACCTGCCTTGATTGCTTGAGAAGCAAGTGTAATATTGGCAGGTATAAAAGCATTCTTTATAATCTTTACTTTTATTAAAGCAATTAGTATTGTTAATTTTAGATTCATTTTGCAACAATATTATTACAGTCGACTCTCTCTTAATGGACACCTCTATAAGATGGACACCTCTGTAAAACGGACACTTGGAGTTGGTCCCTGCCTTTCTTTACTCCTGTTATTTGACTCTCTATAAGACGGACACCTCTCTAAGACTGACACTTAGTGCCGGTCCCAAAGGTGTCCATCTTAGAGAGAGTTGACTGTATATGCAGTCTGTTCTCTGAGAATTTTATACTTGCTGCATGCTTGTTACATTCAGTTTGTCTTCTAAAATGATGGAAATCTGCTACTTGACAACCACCCTGAAACTAGTTATTTCTTGATGGCACTAAAACAGTAGCTCATGCATTGGTTCTTTTCAACACAACCCACTTTGACCTAAGCTAGAAAGGAAAGATCTATAAATTTCCATTCATTAAATTTACATCCATTTATCATTTAATATATAGATTTAGCCATGGGTAAAAGCGAAGCTCCTACTAACTCGAATTTATAATTTAAATAAAACAATTGTAAGCTTGTATTCCACAAATCAGTTAACTTTAGAGCACATTCATGTGACTTTTGACGGAAAGGCTAAGTAATTTAGAGAAAAATAATTTACAAACAGTCCAAGCTAAGAGTGAAATTAATCTTACATCGACTTGATAGCCTTATATGTACACCTAAAAGCAGCATAGCCATTATGGTTCTTGATCACAGTACATTAGGAAAACAAATCAGACCGAATTTTTTGAGTTCAATAAGTTTACTTTACAAAATCTTGCCAACAAGTCTGGGGTTGGTAAAGCAACCTTTTATACTTTTTATACATCACATCTGAGGTGAAATACTACCATGAGGCGCTGTTTTTATCATACAGACCTCAGACACAATGCAGTATTTCACAATTTTGCAATAGTAATTGCACTCATTCAAAATTCAGGACGATCGAAGCACGTGTTAGCAAAACCGTTAAAGTGCACATGAACCGAAAATTGTTTTTATTCAGTTAAAATCTTTATCGTTTAAAAATCTCGATTCCAAAGTTTGAGGTGTTTTGAGTAAAAACTGCCGATTTTATAAGTGATCGAAGTTGGCCTATTTCGTACGAAAAAATGGTCTTCAAATCGCGCGGTCAAAATACCACGTGACTTTATACTGATGACGTAAATTACGTAATTTTGGTTGCATCTTGAATCATTCAAACAAAACAACTATGGCAGAGAGCTCGAAAACACTGAGAGCGAAGCGAAGAGGAGGGCGATATTGCGTCGCTGGAACCCCAAACCAGCGAAGTTGTCAAAATACGTCATTTACGCCTGGAATACGTATGCACCACTTTCCATCTGATCTGTCTGTAAGAGCTCAATGGGTGCAATTTGTGCGTCGCCATAGGCATGATTACAAAGACCCGACCTCAAAGTATGCTTCGTTATGTTCTGCACATTTTGACGAATCTTGCTATGAAAGGAAGATGTCAGTTGTCAGATCTGTGAAGAAGGAGTATAAACTTGAAATGAGAGTCTTTTTAAAACTGACTGCCATGCCAACAAGGGATTCTGTTACCCCTCAATCACCTGAAAAGATCAGCCAGCGAGGAAAGAGGAAGGTAAGAATTTCATATGTTTACACGCTTATTTCCAGCGATCTGTGCTACAGTAGTAGTCCCACATATTTTTCTTTGTCAGGAATACCAGCTACCCATTTACTTGTCTTCAGAACTATTTAAAGATATGTACGATTTGCTTAGTTTTCACCACTTCGTGCCTTTCAAGAGAGTCTAAAAATGACCTTGATGTGTGATGCGACGTCAATAAACAAGACGGCCACATTTTTTAAGGTTTCTTCCGACAAAGTGAGAAGAATAAAAACCCTTCGTTTTGGTCGTCGTTGACAATAATTCAACGCCAATAGGTCAACCATATTAGTCCAGTTAAACAGTCCAAAGGGTTTTCTTTTTTTATCCTAGAAAAAGAATTGCTGTTTTCTTTACAGACATATCAGATCTTATTAATAGTTAGCTCATATATAATGTTTTTCAGAAGTGGCATTGTAATAACATCATCAATAAGTTTTACCTGTTTTTTGTTTCTTGTTTTAGTTAAAACATGAAGCTATGGCGAAAGTGAACCTGCCTCCTAAAAAGAAAAAGCCTTCCTCATCCACTGTCCCTGCCACTTTGGAACCAGCTTCTGATGGTACAACATCTTTAGACCAAGGTGCAGAATCAGAAGCTGTTTCCAAAGACATGCAAATGCCTACTGCTTTGCCTGGGCTATCAACTTCTGGTGAGGACGTTATAAACATCCAATCAACCTCAGCCTCTGTTACGGTGCCTACAATTCAGGAGCCTGAGGAGCCTGCTTCAGACAACTTGGCAGCATATGGTACAGCCTCATCCTCCATGCATACTGTTGCAACAAGCTGTAAAGGATGCAAGCACAAAGCAGAGTACCAAAAAGCAATGCGCGCGAAGAAAAAAAAGAGGTCTGTTCTTTGAAGGCCACCATTGCTGAACTTCAGAGTGTAAGTTTTACTACGTTTACTACCATATTTTATTTTTTTCAATAACTTGAAGTAATGTTCTAAAAGAATAATATAACCTTTTCTTGGTTTTGATTTAGTGTGTGGCTGAAAACGAGACAGAGGAAGAAGGAGAATCCGCACAGCCAAGTGGTGAGAGTACTTCACATGGCCAAAATTATCAAGCACTGGAGAGGAAGAGGAGGATAGTGCTGTGGAAGGTGAGGACCAAGAGTGGGGCCAAACAGGAGCGAGTTCAGAGGAAGAGCAAACCACATAAGATGAGGAAGAAATACCAGAATCAAATGCAAATGATATAAAGTAAGAATTAATGTCTGTAGCCCAATGTTTAGGTGTTGTTGGAAAAGCCACTCTTGGGGTTACCCTGTTGTGATAAGTTCCTTCCTGCTTTCATCTGAAAATCAGGGTGTTGCTTTTTGTGTTTGTTGTAGTATTTCTCTTGGCTTACTGGTAAGTTCTTCAAGTATTAATTTAATGTTTTCATGGTTCAAAATGCAAAATTAACGTGTCATGCTTTGGATCGATTACCCATTAAAACTTTCAAACTTGTGAGCCATGAATCATTGAAAAGGGCTCTTTTCTTTGTTTCAGTACTGGAATATTGAATGTTTTAATTTTATTTATATATTATTTTTTTCTTTTCAGGGCAGATGCAGACTCTTCTGACTACCATTACAACGAGCCAAAATTTATTGTTTTTTTATGAAATGCTTTTAAAAAATTTTTTCTTATTTTGCGTCAACTGCAAAGAAAATAATCCTCAAGTGTCTATGGTTCAAAATGACACAATGATGACCGTTAGGCAGAAGTGTGCCAAATGCATTAAGGGATATGTGTGGACCTCTCAAAGGATCATGCCTCATGGAAAATATCCAACTGGTAACGTCCTATTGAGTCTTGCTGTTTTGATGGCTGGTGCCTCTCGCCATCAAGATTCTCCTTGTGTTTCGTCACATGGGACTGGTTTGTTACTCTGCAAGAACATTTTTTAAGCACCAAAGATCGTTCCTATTTCCAGCTGTTATTTACCATTGGGAGTCCTACCAGACTGACCTTCTCAATAAGGTCAAGGACCTCAAGGATGTAGTTTCGGCTGGGGATGGCCGGTATGACTCCATGGGGCACTCAGCAAAGTATGGTGCATACACATTGCTATGTACAACCATCATGAAAATTGTACATTTTGAGCTTGTTCAGGTATGAAGGTTTTATAAGTGAAGCCCTTCCATATAAAAGACATGACATGAAAGCCACCATTTATCAAAACCAAGAGGGAGTGCAATTAAACAAAATAAGATGTTACTCAACCTTGAAAAATTGTATTCAGTTCTAGTGATATAGAACCCTTACAACACATCTTCTTGTCATCCAATGAAAATTTTCAGTAGAATTACCCATTTACTTTGTTATGTGAATTGACCTTTTTTTACCTTACCCTTGTAAAAATATAGTTTCAAGCATCTATTAAAAACGAGAGGTCTTGGACCTGCCAATTATTGAAGATTTATTAGATCTCTTTCCCAAAAAATTTCTTACAGGCAAATGAGACTGGTGGCAGCTACCAAACAGAGCTTGAAGGAGTAAAACCGTGCTTTGGCTTTCTGCAGCGGCTTGGCGTTAAAATTGGGGTGTTTATCTCTGACTGTCATAGAGGTATAGCCAAATGGATTAGAGAAAACTGCCCTGGCACTACTCACTTCTTTGACATTTGGCATGTGGCCTGGTCAGTTACCAAAAAGCTGCTTGCTGCAAGTACAGAGAAGGGATGTGAGATCATCCAGGATTGGATGAAGGGAATTCGCCGACACCTTTATTGGAGTGCTACATCTACCAAACCTGGTTTTGGCAGCCTCACCCTGGCTAAGTGGAATTCATTCCTGCGACATGTTGCAAATAAACATACTGACCACCCTGACCCACTCTACAAGGTCTGCAATCATGCAAACCTTCCATCTAGAAAGTGGATCAAAATTGGTAAGGATATAATTTTTATTGTATTTATAGTTAAAGGTCACAGCTGTTGGAATATTGTCTTTAATTTTAGTGTACCAAAAGTTCATGTACACCCTTTTACTTTTTATTGTAGGTACTGCTGCCTATGACAAACTTAAAAGCCTTCTCACAGGCAAAGCATTGCTGAATGATATAAAGCAGTTGTCTCCAGATGCCCAAACAAGTTGCTTAGAGGGGTTTCGTGACACCTTGAACCACTGGCATCCAAAGATGATTGGTTTCTCTTGGCTCGGCTCCTTTTGCAGGCAGTACTAAATTTTTGTCATCAAATAGAAAAAATTATGCTACAAAAACAGTTACTGTCCAACATACATTTTTACAATTAATATTGCTTTTTCGTGACTATTGACTACATACCAGTTAGTACTTAATTGACAACCAGTGGTTTCAACACAATTATTTTGAAGTAGGTGCCTGACTCTAGAAGAGTAGGCAGCTGTTACAATCGAGATTGTTGTTCAAGAACTGATTGTTATGACCAGAGTAGCCGGCGACATGCAATCAAGTAGCCAGTTTAACCCCGGCGGTCACTGGCTTGTTTTGAAACCCCTGATTGACAACCCATTTCAAGTCATTGCACCCTCCTCCTGCCCCTCTTGTCACAGAATGCTTGTTTTCAGACACATCCTTGCCAGTCTCCACTTCAATGAGAATCTTCATAGGGATACCCAGGTAACCAGGGATGGTAAAAAGTATTTCCAAATCACATACCCAAAATTCAAACTAGGTGAGGAGGTTGTTCGAGGAGTGGCTACACCCCCAACATATGGTAAGTTGACTGTAGAGTGAATCATTGTTATACTAATAATTTTTCCTTTTTTTCCTTTTTAGAATAGTTCTAATATTTTATAAGAAATAAAGAATAAGAAAGGATGTCAAGTGAATAAACCTTGTTTTCCAGACTGCATGGCAAACTACTTTGCAGTTGCTACAATATTGATAAACTTATAGGGATGAGAATATGATTTTACGATTATGTACATTTCATCAGCAAAGAATATTTAAAGTAAATATTTGGCAATTTTGTTTTGTATAGGGTATGCTAAAGATATAAAAAGCTACTCTTTAATTTGTCTAAACAAGAGATGAAAGAGGTTTTTGACACATTCTGCCCGGACTCCAGAACCCGTCACTGCCCAATTTAGTGGTCGTGTTGATAAGGAAACAGCAGTAAAAACACACAAAGAGAAACAAGGCCAAAGAATCTGCCCTCAACTTTTCCCAGCAAGTATGTTACATTTCAATTATTGAATAAATACTTATAAAGTTATTCTGAGGAGGGGAAGATAAAGTATTTGCACATGTACAGGCAAAATAGGGGTACAAACAAAACTCTGTCAATACAAGAAAATGGCACATCATTAATTTATAGTTCACAAAACTTCAAATAAAATTTGCTTGAAGAAGTATTTTTGTTTCTTCAGGGGCAGAGCAAGAAGTCCTGCAACAAGCAAGCTGCAGTTTTCAACAGCCTGCCAGTGGCTCTAGGGCAGTAAGAAAGTGCTCAAAATGCAAAAGACCAGGCCACACCAGAAGAAACTGTCCAGCATAAATAATGTTGAAAAACAAATCTTGTACAATTAACTCCTTTGAAATCCACACTGTATGGGTGCTTTTTTAGTAAACTGCATGAGAAAACCATTTCAATCAAAAATCAATAGTAGAGTGTTACGTGTAACTTGAAGGAAAAAAATGAAAAATATGAGCCCAAAAAACAGTATTTGCATTGTGGGGGTTCTGGGGCCGATCTAGGGGTGGTTCGGGTGGTTCGGTCGAACCCCCTAAACTGACAAAAAAACGTATAACAAACGCGTGGTTCAAAAAAAGTGAACCAACTCAGCTAATAAATATATCTTTTGAAAATGATATTTCTTTGTGTCTTTGTACGCGAAAACAGCAATAAAAACAAGACAAATTTGTGCGTAGTTGAAAATGGCCCCTAGTACGTCCGCTTGAGCTATAAAATTACTGCTTATTAACACTTAAACGTCCCGCCAAAAATTGACAGTTTATGCCAAATCTGCCAATCATTCCATTTCGGCATTGCGTAAAGCCACGCCATTCTTTGGAAATCAGAGTTGTGGATCGTTCTCTCAGTGAGTCAAAGATTGCGCCGGGAGTATCTTAAAGAGAAAATTTACTTAAACGTTCCTCAACGTCAACTCATGACTTAATATGTCGAAGAGGACAAAGCAACCACAAATTCACCGGTTTTTTCGGACCGTCATCAGCAAGGTAAGCATTAATAGATTGGTCTATTACACGAGTACGCTTAATTCTAGCAAGCAGACAGTGTTGATTTCTGGAGAGTTGTTTCACAAATCGATTTAAAACTGAAATATCATAAGTTTACATTCTAAATTTTCGTCCCTAGATCGGGGACCAGCGAAGATAATGAGTCTTTTGACCAATCATCTAGTTCTTCTAGCAGTTTGAATGAGAGCTCGAGTAGTGCAGAGAGGATTCCTTGCTCTAGCGATGCCGGTAAGAACATTTTCCATAACAAAAAATACTACAAGCTATCAATTTGGCACTTGTCAACACTTTTTTTGTTTTGCGTTTACAGAGGCCGAAAAAGTGACCCAACAGGTACAGGCAGTGAAGATTTGCCAGTGACTGTCGCTCGACAAAATGAGACAACCCTATCTTCTTCACAGCAAGGTATTTCATTTTTTAAATTGGTGATATAAATCAGAAAGCTTAAGCTTTTACCTTTGTTAAAATTCTCTCTACAGATGTAGACACACAACCAACCTTATCATAAGTCATAGGATAAATAAGCTATTTAAATTCTTTCTCGACCTTTCTGATTCCATACATTGCAATCCCTCCTTGTAACTAATCAGGTTCCTTCGTAAAAATCCCTTCGTGTAACCAACCCTTAACAAACGCTGATAAAACAATCTTAAGGTAAAGTTATAATCCTCCTCACACGAAGAATTCCTAATATAACGCATGCACTCTGTCCTTAATAAAGTAGGGGTGGAACCGTGACCAGTACGTTGCTATGGATACATGGACCCTCGTGGTTATCTAATCCAGATCAGTGGCCTAAAAACATTGAAGTTAAACCTTCCTTGGAATCTCGAGCAGAAGCCAAAGTAACAAAGGAAATCCTGACTATTGCCCTACCAAAGAATGATGTGTTTAATGAGATTTTGGAAAACTTTAGCCTGTTGAAAACTTTGCGCATCTGCGCATGGACCAGTAGATTTCTCGCCAACTGCAAAAACTTGAAGTCAACAAGATTGGAAGGACTGCTGACCACAGAGGAAATAAAGTGCCAGGAAGTCTGGTGGACTAAATGTTCCCAAGCCAAAGCCACATGCGCCAATAATTTCCAAGCAGACAAGCTTCAACTTAATTTGCAGCCACGGAACAATGGCATACTAGAGTGCAGAGGAAGAATTGTTGGTGCCTACCCCACCTACCTTCCTGACGACAACTTGTTTACCTACAAGTTTGTTCAACAAGCCCACCTTTCAATCATTCACGGGGGAGTCACACTTACCATGACAAAGGTCGGAGAAACCCACTGGGTTCCTTGCCTGAGAAGATTGACAAAAAAAGTCATCAAAAGCTGCTGGGGCTGCAAAAGATTCCAAGCTCAGGCTTACCAGACACCACCGCCAGGTGATTTGCCACTCGCGCGCACCCAAGGAGTGACGCCCTACCAGACGATTGGAGTTGACTTCGCTGGTCCCATTAAATATCGACTGACGCTGAAAACAGAAGGAAAAGCTTACCTGGTTCGTTACGCGTGTAGCCTTACACGAGGAGTGTATCTCGATCTCCTCCCAAGCCTAGAGATGGACAAGTTTCTCACAAGTTTGAAACGGTTCATATCCAGGCGTGGTCGCCTGCAGGTGATCTACTCCGACAATGGAAGCACGTTTAAGGCCGCTGCTGATTAGATTAGCAAAGTCCGAAAGGAAGAGAAATTCCACCACTACCTTGCCAAGCATGACATTGCTTGGAGATTTAACCTCAGCCGAGCCCCATGGTGGGGTGGCCAATTTGAAAGACTCATAGGCGTTTTCAAGTCTGCCTTTCGTAAAGCAGTGGGTAATGGAACCTTAACCTGGAGCGAATTGTCTGACATCGTACTCGATGTAGAAATTGCCATAAATGGTCGCCCACTGAGTTACCTTGAGGATGATGTTGAGATGCCAGTGCTTACACCAAGCTCTATGCTGCACCTTCAACTAACCCAGCTTCCCGGGCTAAGTCCACACCACCTTCAGGAGGCAGATCTTAGGAAGAGAGCCAAGTACCTCCTTCAGTGTAAAGAAGTGATGTGGTCTAGGTGGTCGAAAGAGTACGTGTGGAGTTTAAGAGAGCGGCACAGAAGAAGTGGGGAGAGCAGACCCTACACCCCTCAGTCCGAGATGTAGTGATTATACAGGACGAGTCTCGAAATCGACACTCATGGAAACTTGGAATCGTGGATGAGCTGATTGTAGGACGTGACAGAATTATACGAGCTGCCAAGATGCGAGCACGAAAGGGAGTAGCAGCACCTCTACCCACTCGAGTTATCAGTCGACCGCAAGCCCATGGCAAGCTCAAGCCTAAACTCGGTAGCCCCAGCTTTCAGGCCAACACGACCTGCAGCAGCAACTGCCAATAAGCTTATCCAGGGGATTGCACGTGCAGAAGAATCCAGTGACATTTAAAGGAACAATGAACTGAGAACACTTTAACTTTACTTTTGTTTAATTAAACTCGGACATGATTAACTAGGGATCAGTCTCAAAAGAGAACATATATTCCATAGAAAGAAATATATGGGAGGAGTGTGTCGGAGACTGAGGCTAGTATTTGTGATTGTGCAGACTTGAGTTGATAACAGAAAACCCACATGATGGATCAAATTAGTTCGATAAGTGATTTTGTTAAATAGCCATGAATGATATGTGTCAAGGACCGGAAATTTACCCGTAGGCCTTTTGCATGCAATGTTCAGTATAAACGATAAGCCCTGGTGATTTTAAGTCGAGTCGTTGAGTTGTTCTCGTTGTTGACCCTGTAAACCAGTTGTGAGATTGCGAGAGCTGTGACCTGTTGAGTTTGAACCTTTGAGAGTGATTCCCAGCCATTAAACCTATCAGTGGACCTGTGAGTATAATTTGCCTCGAATTATTCCTTTTCCTTTGTGACATTTGTGGGGAATCGATTCCTGGAGGCAAGCGTTTCCCACAAAACCACAAGTTTTTGAGCAAAAATCCTTTCTTTCCAAAAGCTGGAGTAGCACTGAGATAAAAGAAATAAAGCCAAAAGATCTCAACTGCTCAAGCTTTGAACAATTGTTAGCAGAAAAAATCCATTGTCCATCAATGCGTATGAATAACAGTGAAAGAATTTGAATTTATCAGGAGTCATCTCAGTGTAGCAACAACATTAACAATACCTTTCGAGTATTCCTTTGTTTTGCCTTCCCCTGGCTTGAAATTTCCACAACAGTGGCTAAAGAATTCAGGAACTTACCATATGAGTCTGACCGGTTCCCGCAGTATACATGCGTATGTCTGTCGAGGTTACAAAATAAGATCAGGGTGTCAATCCGTCGTGAAATTTTAAAAATCTATTAAGACAGCTGTCTTCGAAGAGGACAATTTATCAAGTTAGGAAAATCTACACAAAAGGAGTTTGACGGAATATCTCAGGTGGTGGCTCACCAGCAATCCAGAGTCCATCAATTTGCTACTATGTACCTCTCAGGCTCAAAAGAGCTGGATAAAAATTTTAGCAGCCATAGAGGTATTGTAGATGCTAAGCCACTGCCTCAACAGAGAACGATTACTGAAGCTCTAAAAATCACCAAGCCAGATAGTCAAAGCTCAGACTGCCGCCACTTTTTTGAAAACCCTGATATTGTTGAGTCTTTTAAAGATGACTGTTCAACTAGAAAAGTGTCAACAAAGACATTATTTGAGCGAGAGAGGGCAAAAGGTAAATTTAGATGTTTTCTTAAAGGAAAAGGGCATACGAAATGTTCCACTTTAAAGGGTTGTAAAGATAAGCACCCTGGGGAAGCAGAGGAGCTTGCCAGGGCAATATATGTGTTAATGAACAGAGAAGTTACCTACAAAGGCCACAGATTGTTTGTTAAGGGAGCAATTAAAAGCGTAGATCCACCATGCACTGGAAAACCTTCGGGGCTTCCCCGTCACCCCTTGGCTTGCAAAAATTGTTTTTCACAAAAACAGTATCTAGTGGATTTAAGTAAAAAGCGAGACCAAGCAGTGTATGATGCAAGCAGTGAGAACAGGATAGGAAGAAAGGGTTTCCGTCATGACTACGCACTCAAAAATGAAATAAAGGAAAAAGTTGAAGAGCTGCTGGATTCAAACCGAAAGCTGGGAAAAATAGTGACCAGTTTGTCAGTGCAGAAGTGAAAAAATTGGGAAGAAATGCTCCAGGAAAGTTGCGAAAAAAATACCAAGAGAAACTAATTGTAGATTTGCTGCACTTTCTTAAAGAGGACATACACCAAACAAATGCTGTTCAAGTGACAATTATGAGAAACCTTGTTGGAAAACAAAGAAGAGGTGTAAACCATCACTTTGTTCCGTTGATGAAACCATTGGAAAGATGCACAAAATCTGCCTGAAGGTATACCTCGAACATTGAATTTATTGCAATAGTTTACAAGTGAAGTCGACAGCCAGAACACCCTAGTATTGACAAATATAAACAAAAAACGTTCCATTCGAAAATATTCATGACCAGGGTAGAAACTGCCAAATTTCAATGCACAAATTCTTATGACTGGTCACAATACATTGTCGATACTAGAATGTTGGTTATTGGTTATGATTAAGTACATTAAATTTTGTGATGTAGACTGAAGTCAGATTGGTCACACTTTAAAATAAATGGCTAGAACTGTATCTAATGATTAGATTTTCCCCTAACCATCTAGGAAGAAATCATGTCAAGTAAATTATCCAAGAGGGCAGCTTTCAGTGGCCCATTCTCTTCACAAACATTTTTAATGTCAGACTTAAGACCAAAGAAATCGTTCATCTCCTTGAACTCTAGAGCTTCAATTCTAGACCCGTCAATAGCGAGTTAATCTATCTAGCACATTTATCGTTAATATTTATGACCTGTTATGAACAAGGTATGAAATGTAACATAAGATGACACAATATAAATTGATATATCCCTATACAATAAATTAACTTTCAATAGATTAAATTACCTTTTTAGGACTTGTTTGGTCTCCCATCGAGCACATCGTGTAATGACTTCAAAACTCACAGGAAATTGCAGCCAGGGTACAATCCTGAGGTAATTGATGAAGTCGTTAAGCTGTACAAGGATGGATCAGTTGTTGATGCCAGTGAAGAGGCCAGAGCATTAAGGGTTGTTAAAACATTGTATTGATAAAGAAGGAAAACAATTTAAAAAATAAGAAAAGTGACTCCTGTTAAGTACAACATTACATTCGCTGCCTAACTTCATGATAAAATAGATAAGACAAAAACACTTCACAATGTGATGAAGTTCTTCGATAGTACAGTTAGATGTCAGTTTGTTTTGTCGGTCTGTCTGACTGTAATTTACAATCACAAACCCACAAATGTAGACAATCATTGGAATTATCGACCTGCATGAACTTATGGAAATATGTGTACAAGGAGAAGCAATACCATTTCTGGCTAAACATCTGGTGCTGATCAACTTTTTTGATTAAAGACCAGATACTGCCAACAGAATATTTCCCCTCAAAGTTGCGGAAATGCTGGAAAGTCATGTCAGAGGAACACAGTCTATATGCCTTTACATCATCACATCCCATTTTTTTTTATAAAATGGTTCAGTGATGATGATGATGATGATTCAAATCATCATCATCATCATCATCATCATCACTGAACCATTTTATGATGTACAATTTGGTACACCGGAACAGATTCAAATGTCTGTGTCTACAGGAATCACCATTCACCAATTCACCAAGATGCGCCTTCATGCTCTTCCAAATACGTCCAAAATAAAAGAAAAAAGAGGACATTTTCTTACTTGTGGTGCTTACACGACTGCTGAACTAATCTTCTCTGCTGTCTCTTCACATTGCATTGCAATATTTTTGCACTTCAAGAAGTTTGGCCCATCACTATGCTCCCCTAATTGTTCTGGTACAATTTCAACAGAAAAAATCATTGGCCAGTTACAAAGGAAAACTACTAACATCCAAACTTCGGACACATCAACATTTGGCGATATGTTAAATCGTTCAAAGGATCTGCAATTTATAACAGTAGCTATAAATGACTTGTCCACCTATTAGGGAGTCAGAATACCATCAACTAGCAATAGGAAAACATCACATTTCCATTCAACTAGCAACCCAAAACCTACAAACTACCAGTACCCTGACAGTTACCTGGAGTTCCTTGAAAAGAAGCAGGATATGCATAAGAGTGGGGTTAAAAGAGCACAGGAACTCATAAATATGTTTTTTCCTGAGGATTTTTTAACTCTTTTAGAGTCACATGGGGTATGGGACTTACCTTATTCTTTTAAGCCAGCAGGCATAAAGATGGTAAGTGTAGGCCCTCCACCTAAAGAATACAATAAATTACATGTATCGTTATCCTCGAGTGTTGATTCAGCAGCTGTCAATAGCAACACCAAGGAAGAAAATGCACTTGACATCCAAGACATGCAAATGGAAGAAGAGGAACAACCAAAAGGATCAACAACAGACAGCGAGGATAGCAATCCTTCATCACACACTTTTATCAGTGATGTTGAAGGTAGTGATAGTGACGAGGATAAACACAACAGTGATACAGGTAAAAGTGTCCCACCCAATATGAGATGGTATATTAAAAACGATGGAAATAATTTGCACATCTCCAAAGCTCTTAAAATTCTGTTACCTAGGGACTACATCTCAAAAGAAAGATCTAGACAACACTGGGTAGGAAAATCCCTTATTCAAGCTTGGAATAAGATACATAAAAGTGACGATGTGATCAGGTTCCGGAACGTGGCTGTCAGGGTCAAATACAAGGTCGAGTTCTTGCACATTCTCTCTATACAATCAGAGGAGGGGAAAGAACAGACAAGTGAAAATTCGAAAAATAAAGGGTCAGTGAGAGGTCGACCATACACTGAAGTAGGTGAAGGTAAATATGATGTTCCTTACAAGATTCTATTGACCAAGTGGATTCCTCCAAATAAAGTGCTTTCTGAAATTGAAATGGTGAAGAATGAGGATGGCACATCTTCATTATCTGAGGACAGCATTGCCAAACTGCAACTGAAAGAAAAAGACAGCTTGCTAGCACTGCAGATACAAATACTGATGATGACTACTATGAAGTAGAAAACGTTTTAGAAGTAAGACTCAACAAGCAGTTCCACTCAGAAGAATACAAAGTTACGTTTAAAGGATACACCTCTGATGATGACATGTGGCTGCCAAGCTCTGCTTTTAAAGAGCCTGTCACTTTCCACACTGTTTCAAATAGGGGTCGTCCCAGAAAGGAAAGTATAGAGAGAGGGATCCTGAGGCTCCTGACACCCAAGGAAAGAATCCGAGGGAGACTCCTACAAAGACTAACCTTAAAAGGAAACACGTCCACGAATTAAAGACAGGTAATATAACTATATTCTTTTATAATTGGGATAATAGGAATTGGAGTTGATAACCTACCTGTCTTTGTAGCCAATATAATATCTTATCTAGTTTGTTTAAGATCACACAAAGGCAGCAACAGACATTGAACACTGATGCAAATGTAATCTGATGTTAACGTCCTAGACATTGTTGATAGTAATTTGATTTGGGAGATCATATTATCGTTTAGACTGAAATAAAAGCCTCTGACACCTAATTTCTGTTATCCTTTCATAGGAATATACAGGAAAGAAGAAAATAAAGCTCTTCAAAGAGGACTCAACCAAAGGTACAATTCAATCCATCAAATCATGTTATGACTGAAGAGACAGCTAATCAAAAAGGCAGACTAAAATATCTGAAGTATATAACTTTCAGTAAAATTTACACACTTCTCATTCTATCACAGAATCAACTTGGACACATTCTCTGAGTTAACAGTTGTAAGAAAGTTGGAGAAGTTTAGTTATGTGGACAACTGAGCTCAATAAAGGTTCATTGAGCTTGACATGTTGACCGAGCTCGATCAACAATCGACCTCGGGAAACCGTACTCGATATGTTGATACCGAGCTTGAAATCCACTCATGCTCCGTCTTCATTGACCATGCTCGATGAGTAATCGAGCTCACCAAGCATCGAGCTTGGTGAACTCGAGCACCGGGGGGACAACGTAGAAGTTATCGAGCTCGATAAGCGTTGACTGAGCTCGCTCAACGTTATCAAGATTGGTTGTTAACAGTCTGCTTATCGAGCAAAAATGGGAAAATATGGAAAGGCAATAATGGCCAGCATTTAAGATAAAAAAAAGTAAGATTACACCCTATTCACCTTGCGTTGTTCGTTTATTTTTTTTTCTGTCGCACTTATATACTATAATATAATAATAATAATCCCCTTTTGTTTTGCGGACGTTGGCAACCTCCAATTCCTGGTTGGCTGAGCATTTATGGATTTTTTTTTTTCGATGGGGGACGCAAGAGTAAACAACCATGGCAAAAAATGAAGTGCAATGTTGTGGGAAAATGCTTCCTTCCCTCATTATCTTTCGGGCTTTTCTCCCTCCCCCTCTCCTGCCACGCAGGCTATTTACAGATTGGTGAGTCTATAATAGTTCTTCAAAGCAGCTTACCTTGGTATCTCTAAAGCAGAAAGGCAACTGATCCACCTAAAAAGGAATTTATTCCAGGGTTTATTTATATTATTTTTTTGCTTAATTTTTCCCCTAGTGGGCAGCACGTAAAGACAATTTTCCCTGATATCAGTTTAGCAGAACAAAAGCTAAACTTGTTTCACATTTTCATAGAATAACCTTTAATTATTTGTCATAAGAGTCTGTTTCACAGGAAAGCCCTGACATAAAACAGTACTATACAAAACTTGGATCTTCGGCAGTTTGTTTGGATTCAGAGAACAGGGTATGATAGATCTTACTGCACTTTCCAAAATGAATTGATATCTATTTACAGAACGTAAAAAGGGATGCAAAGTTCTAAGCAAGGTGTGCGAAAGGGGAACCACGTGCATAGCAGTCTTAAAAGTACAGGAAAAAAGGAATGAAGGAGGAAGGGAGGGAGGGAATAAGGGCATATGACTCCTTTGTTCAGGACTGATGACAAGATAGAATCCCAGATGGGCTCTCAGGCAACAACCCATGAGTCCGAAGGCCAAATGGGCTATTGACCCAGATGCCATGAAGGCTCGAGGAATAATTGTTTTAGTAAAATCCAACTAGTTCGTCAAAAATTTGTTACCAACATGGAGGGTGTTAGCCGACGTAACTTTATATTTTTAACTTCTATGTTTTCATAGATGTCACCTGACGCTTCATTTGTGTGAGTGTCCTGAAAAGGCAGTACAGTGTAGAGTCACAGGCTGCAAGACTATCGTAAAGAGAAAAGATAGCCAAGAACACATCGTTAACGCCACTGCAACACATTCCTTGCTTCAGGCAGGAGAAGTACAAAAACTACGGGATGTGATGCATTTTAAGGTTCGATACAAATCTAGCTTATAATCATACAAACATTAAAGAAAAAAGACTGCAAAAAAGCAGTTATATAAACAAGAATTATTGTAACACCATCAATATTTTATTCATGTGTTGATTGTTAAAAAAGAAGAAATAGTGATTGCACGTTTATAAATTGTGTACAATCTTGAACTAGGAAGTATTAAGAAAACATTCGAACGACAACCCTCGGACCAAAGAGTTTGCTGCATAGGTTGCCATTATTTTTGAAATATATATCTAATATTGTTATCTTTCCCTTTCCTGCAAAGACCCAAACCAGCGTGGTTTCTGGAGGAGGAAAATGTGTTCTCCTTCTGCTGGAAAACAAGTGGTTTAGATACCCTAACTGAATCCGGAGCAAGCACTGAATATCTTGCCAGAATGGAAAAAGGTGGAGAGGAATTCTTTCTATTGAAGGAGGCCAACTCCACCTGCCATCCCTACAGCTGGTGTCTTCTGTGACACCAGTTATAGTTGGAGCAAGGTAAGGCAAACATTAAATTCAGAAAAAATATAATTACAATTTGTCACTAGCGTGGGACTGTACATGAACGAGTGATAACAATACCTCACTCTTGCCATTTAGCTCGTCCACAGAACCTATTCATGGTTTTTATTCCCCATAGCTTAATTGCCAAGAATCCATAAACTACCAGAATTAAAACAAAGAACTAAAGTAAAATATCATTGACTTGACTAAAGTTAAGCTGCGAACTGGCCATATTCACACTAGGGATGGATTATTATCCATCTAAGATGTGTTATCTGATGAACCATTCACGTCAGACAGGTAATACATTGAAAATAGAACGATATTAATTTTGTTCTATGATTTGAACACATAAAAAGTAACCATAGAACACAAATTAATTTAAGGAATTCTGGAATTTTATTTTCTGATTGACTGCCATCTTAACTCGTGCTTTTGGTAAGATTACTCAATTACCATTATTTTGGCCTATTTTCAGTCAAACAAATTCTCACTCACTGGTATGCGGAAAGGCTGCTTTGGATAAGGTATCAGTTTGCCCAAGCTCAGCGGTGCAAAGAAAATGGTAAGGAAACACACAAAGAGTTATTCAATGTCTATTAAATATGAAAGTAGTCAATGGTATTGGACTATATGTTTGTGGCAAAAGAAAGGAAAAAAATATTGTTAATATTAAGTCTAAGGATAAGTTTTAATAAGTTTACAATACCTAGCAGAGTGTACAAGTAATAATAATTAGCCACCAAAAAGTATTGAAAAGTCGTGTTTTTTTTGGTATTTTCAGCTGAAACCTGTACCAGAAATTTGTAGCAATTCATAGCAAAGTACATTTTATTTATAATATGTATTTGCCTTTTTGTCTCTGCAAGGTGCAAGGTTTTGGTTTCGAGGGTGTAGATGGCCAAGAAACAAGCAAATCAAATGGTCTCAAGAGGATGAGGTTTGGATTGATGTAATTGTTGATCTTTTGAAACAGTTGTTTGGGGAGGACTTCCTTGATTATGTCTACACGACAGCCCATGGGACAGTTGTCGCTGAGCATTCACACCCACGAGAACATTTTTTTTATGACCATGACCAATGGTAGGCCTCTTTCAATGCAGCACGTCAGGCAAGATCCATCCAAAAGCCCACAAGTTCAGCAGATGCACTAAAGCAACTTGCGTGTGGTAGGAATTCCAATCCTCAAACAGTGTCGTCTGAGTTAGATGGAATCACCCCATTAGAGTCAGACCGATGCCTCCAGATTCAGACAATTCAATACAGGAGGAACCGAGTGTAGTAGTGGATCATATTGATCAACCAGCTGTGAAAGGAAATGGTGTTTCGAGGTCATCAGAAAAGAAGGTCCAGCCCACCCCTTGCCCTAAGGGAGTTAAGGTACCACCACCTTCTAGTGTAATGCCATCAACAGCAACTCAGCAAACTAGGAGCAGAGATGCAATGGGGAACAAACCAAAACGCAGTGTGTCCTGTCAGCTACATGTAGGACATGGTCTTCCTTCAGTTGATTCTGTCCAATTCCACACCTTAGTGCTTCCAAACAACCTATCTTCTCTTGTTAGCCGTGTAGTGGACCGTTCTGTACCTTTTGGTGGGAATGTTCTTATTGATGAAGAAGACTTGGCTGCTCTGAAAGCCTGTAGGTCCACATCCGAAGGAAAGTTTCTAACGAATTTTACCATTGAAGGTTATTTTGACTTGATAGCAAAACAAGGTCGGCTTCAAGGCAAGAAGATTGAATACCTGGGTTGGGAAAGGTTTGAGAAAGCAGTGGGGAGAAGCCCTGCTCGAGATGTTCTGAGGGGGAAGGCACCTCCAATGCAGCAAGATCTTTTGCTAGTACCATGCAACCCAAGGGGAAGTCAACACTGGTTCTTGCTTGCGTTGGTTCCAAAGAAGCATCAAATTTTAGTTCTTGATAGCTTGGCGGGAGAATTTGTCAAGCCAACAGCTAAATGAGCTGTTGCCAAAATGTGGATGCTGCTTGAAGAGCTTGACCGCAACATCAGTGTCAACCAGTGGAGTTGCTACTCAAACAAGCCAATGGACATTCCACAACAGCAGAATGATTATGACTGTGGAGTTTTCCGGGGCATGTATGCCAGAACTTTAGCACTTCGACACCCCATGCCTTTAGACATTCCAAATTTCAGACAGGTCATGATTTTGGAACTCCACCAAGGAACACTTCAAAACCTTGACACTAAAATGAGAGATGCACCTTGCTAAAAATTCAGGGCTGGGTTAGTGCAAAATTAGAATTCAAAGTTGAAAGCTTAAAAGCAAATTCAGTTCTATTCTTTTTGCATTCAATTGGATGATTGGCTGCTCTAAAAAGAAGAGAGAAATTATGGGGGAAAATGCTTTTGAGCAAAAGAAAACACATGTGTTTTCTCGCATTAAGGAATGCAGGTTGCTTCAGTGCTTTGCATACGGATGTGTTGGTATTTGTCGCATGGGTTACTTTGACAGTGTGCGTGATTATTTGTTATCAGGTATATAAGGTGTTCTTTGCACATTCAAGGTCACTTGACGGCATCTCTCACTACCGTTCTGTAAATTATGGATGAAACGGGCACTGATTTTTCTCAATCGAACATCGCTGGTCCTGCGATCGGTCTAGAGAGCGGCCTTTCAGGCAAGGAAACGGTAGGATTAATTTCCTGTCTCCTGGATTCAAAGTTGGAGAAGAAATTTGCTGATTTTAAGCGTGCTCTCGAGCAGAAGGACTTTCGACTAACTCTCAAATCAAGAAGTTGAAGACTGAAGCGAAGGCTTCCAGTAGCTTCCAGTTCAATTCGAGCTTGTTAGACTCTATAAACATTGCTTTCGATCACCTCCCCGAGGGAGACTTGTCAGGTGTTAACAAGGAGCTTGAGAACGTCAAAGCGTCACTGAACAAGTGAAACAAAGTTATCCGTTTTGCAAACAAGACTCCTTCTGGTTGGGCGGCAGTGGAAGAACAAAGATAAGTGTAAGTGGTTTCTCCTTCAGGTCATTTGTTGGCCGGGTATTTTTAGGGATTTCAAAAACAACCGTATGTTTACATTACAACATGCATAATCTCCTGGCTGCAAGCAGAGCTCCCTCCACAGTTAACCGTAACTCACATATTTTCATGAGTGGAAGGACCAGGCAACAAATTTTGCAGAGGTTTCCTTTTTTCCTGCTTCAGAGTTCCACGCTATTCGTTCTGTTCAATAAATTTGGCTTTTTATAGCATTAATTTTATACCACAATTCAAGGTGTCAGTTATTAGGTACAGTATCACCAAAATGATTTCGTCAAAAAAATGGTTTCGTTAAATAAGTTGTGGTGACTAGTTGTACCAATTACAACTAGATCCTCGTCAAGAGAAGGAAGCACACACTCGACTAGGTAGGAACACCAGATGATGAAGAGGTTCTCCTAGATTAATTTGGGATCAACACCCAAAAGACAATTATGTTTTACAACACAATGAATGAAATTGCCATTGTTGTGAACTACTTGATATCTTAGCTGGGAAAGAAAGTATTTTTTCCCGACTATTCTGCTGTAAAGGACAATTGTTTAATAGCAATTTATCAATCTAACTCCTGGCAAAGAAGTAAAGACAGTGATGGAACAGTTCAAGTTTGTGGTGTAAAACGAATAATTTTCGCTACCACAGTACTCTGCATGGGTGTTAACTTCCCAGACGTTCGTTTTATTATCAATTGGGGGCCAGCCCGGTCAATTTTAGATCAGCATCAAGAGGCTGGGAGAGCTGCCAGAGATAGGAAGAGAGCACATGTGGTTGTTATATATCATAGGCAACAAGTTGGACATTGTGAACAACAAATCAAAGAATTTGTCCATACTGAAGGCTGTTTTCGTGTTGCTGCTTATAAATCGTTGGATGACACAATTCAACCTCTTTTTATGATCCCTGTACGCAGAGCTACTGGGATAGATTGGGTTTGCACAGCCTTGGTAATGCTAATAAGCGTTCACTCAGTTCTAATCTAATCTACCCGCACTATGTTTCACTAATAATTTCCACTTCTTTTCCCTTTTTCCCGGACCCCCCTAGGAACCTCGTGGCCTTCCGCCACTCACGACTTCTCCCCCAAATGATAAATCCTAGATAGAACCCTGTGAATTTGTCGATACGTTTATTTACTTACACCTACATTTTCACCCTTTTTTGGGTAATTTTTCCATTTTCGTTCAATTAAAATTACACTCTGCCTTTAGGATTGTGTTGATGCCAGTAACTGCTTCAGAAAAGATTTTCTCCTTCAATGCAAGAGAAATTAAGGAGAGGCAGTTGACTAGAAAAATTCCAGCAGCAGATTTTCGTACCATTGTGACAGATGGGATAATGTCTGTAAAATATGTAATGTCATATTATATATTGCAAGAAGTTTAACTACATTCTAGGTCAAAATTGTTGGGACTCTTTGTTGTCTTCTTGTCCTCCCAATGTTGGTGCACAAGATTTGGTGAATTAAATGCGATAAACAACATTGGGAGGTGTGTTCCAACTACTTTTTGCTGTGACAGAAGTTCTCCAGGTGATAAATAGGTAGAAATCAAGACCTGTGTTTCACAATTTTTGTGATCGCGCTCTTGACATTTTTAAAATTTATGATTACCTGCCTTTTTTACGCCTATTTAGGACCTGGGAAGAATGCCATTCCTCTCAAACACGCCCACAAAATCCAGGTCAATTTTTTGTAGGCAAAAACACGATGTGTGGAAAAAATGAATGTGTAGAAAGACTGAATGAAAGACATTTTCGTTATTGTTTGTCTCCTTAAAATTAATGCCGAGACGTTATTGAACTGGCCCCGGTTGTTCAAACGTTGGACGTTGTCACTGGAGGATCCAGACCATCAAGGGCGATCAAGGTCTCAGTTTGGCCTAAACACAAGGGGGGCCTGGGCCCCAGGCCCTTCCCCTGGATCCGCCAATGTTTGTTATTATGATGCTATGCATTACAGTATCCTTTGACTTTCATCATTTTTTACTAAAAGCTATGAAAATAGCAAAAGTAGGTATCTCAGGTCAATTTTTGGTACAAAAATGAATGTGTAAATAGACTGAACGTTATTGAACTGTCCCCAGTTGTTAATAAGATGGATAGGAATATGGACCAAATAAATAGCTAATCAGTGAAAACCAATTAAACCACCATCATCCATCCCGATGGGTCATGCTTTATCCGGTGGATAGCGCTATCCACCTTTTGAACAACTAGATCCTGCTCTTTATTAACAATGCTAGCTAAGACATTGATGTCATCATGATCTTGTATTAGTATACTATGACTTTCATCAAATTGGTCTCAAAACGATGACAATATATCAAATATAGACGGAAATCTTATGTAATTATTTTCGGTGACAGTAACACATTTACCGACCAGCTAGGCAATGATGTTGGGAACAAGAAAGCATTTAAATTTCATTTGAGCTGTAGATTTAATTCGTACTGTTATACATATAATGATATTAATTTAACGATATAACTCTCTAGACTCCTCTTTAATAATGGAATTGATAATGGGATTGACTTTTCTAACAAGAGTCGAAAGTCTGAAAGTTGTCACTAAAACAGAAGAACCCAATGACTGTGTCGTGTAAAATGCATCGTCACATTGCCAGGGAAAGTGTAATACTCTTGCAATTTCGAAAACACTCAGGATGCCCTATAGGACACCCCAAGCGACTGACCAATAGAAAATTTTTAACGCCTACTGGAAAAGATATAACTGACATTGGGAGCCCCAAACTAAGATTTCGTTATTTAGATCTTGATAATTGACAGATGTAATTGTAGAAGAGATTGTCTTGCATTTAAATTTACATTCTTATATTGTCTAGAAAATTTGCTAGCTTTTGTTCTGTTAAACGGACATCAGGGAGAATTGTCTTTATGTGCTGCCCGTTTGGGGAAACAATTAAGCAACAAAGACTGTAAATAAACCCTGGAATAAATTCTTTTTTACACGGATCACTTGTCGTTCTGCTTTAGGGATACCATGGTATGCTGCCTTGAAGAACTCCTCGCTTATTAGAGACCCACCAACCTGTAAATAGCCTGTGTGGCAGGCGCAAGAAGGGGAGGGAGAAAAGCGCGAAAGAAAGTAAGAAATAAGGGAAGGAAGCATTTTCCCACAACATTGCACTTCGTTTTTTGCCATCCCCCATCAAAGAAAAAATCCATAAATGCTGAGCCAACCAGGAATTGGAGGTCGCCAACATCCACAAAACAAAAGGGGATTATTATAATATTATAGTATATATGAGCAAGGGAAAAGAAACAAATAAACAAACAACACAAGGAGAATAGGGTGTGATCTTAAATTTTTTCTACCTTAAATGCTGGCCATTATTGCCTTTCCATATTTTCCCATTTTCACTCAAGCAGACTGTTAACCGAGCTGGATAATAGTTTTACTTTGTCCCCTCGGTCCTCAAGTTCACCGAGGTCGACGCTTGGCAAGCTCGATCATGAAGTCGAGTTCGATTACTCATCGAGCATGGCCAATGAAGACTGAGCACGAGACGATTTCAAGCTCGGTATCAACATATCAAGTACAGTTTCCCCGAGGTCAGTTGCTGATTGAGCTCGGTTGACATGTTGAACTCAATGAACCTTTATTGAACACGGTTGCCCACATAACTAAACTGATCCAGAAAGCTCTGTTTGCTCATTTTCGCTTCTTTTCCCAAACAAATCACTGACAACATGACAGACGATTTATAGAAATGAAAACGTAAAAGTAATCACTAATATTTCAATTAGAGTTAGTTAACTTTGTTAACCCCTCTAATTTCAATGCAATGAATATATGTTTCTGATTTAGAGATGGTAAGGGAGGGAGAGGGTCAAAGAGAAAAAAGACATCTCATGCTCTGCAAAAAGGTACTAAGAAGTGTATGTAAAAAGACCTGGAAGTACAGAGTTCTTTTCCTTCAAAAAATCAAAACCCAACAATAATCTGACTGACTGGGGCCTAAATATTACATTGCTATTGTCGTGGATGATTTCTTTAAACTGCGTGTAAATTCATATGGGCAACAAAATAGCATATAGGATTTAAACTGAAGTGGCTCATCTCATGCTCTAATATGTTCTCTTTACATACAGGTAAGAAGCCTAAAAAAGGAAAGCAATCGAGAGATGGAACACATTTTCGCCAGACAGGTAACAGAGATGATTACCTGTCTTCAGAAGATGAAGAAGGTTCAAAAAAACTGATCAGCTTTGCATCTAGCCATCAGGGTGACAGTGATCAACCTCTCTACCACTATCCAGGTCAACAGTGTGCTGGAATTGCTTTCATATCCCTTCTCTATAGCAACATGCTTCTAGTTGCTTCTTGGACCAAGGCTGATTTGGATAAAATGATGATAGTTGGGGACAGACTCCACTTTTTCCGTGTCAGTTGCCTGGGATGTAAGACTCAATCAACCCAAAAGTTGCATCTTGACGAGTTACCAATCAAATTGAGAGCTTTCGTTACGAATTTTTAAGTAGAGAGATATTTTTGGTGGTGACAGATGGCACGAGGAAGAAGAAACAGAGAGTGAAGATGTTGTTCGGACCTTAAAAAGGGTCCTGGAAAAAAGCGTCCAAGAAAACTACCCTGGCCTTGTTCTTCGAATCCAGGACTACTGTGTGTCATGCATAAACAGTTATGGTTAGTGGTTCATGTCTGATTCCCATGCAAGGGACAAAAATGGGACAGTGGAGGGGAATGGTAAAGCCATCTTATTAAAATTTTCAAATTCTGCAGCGCTTACCAAGCACATTAATGATTTCATAGAAGCAAATAATGGAACAGACTTATCACATGAGGCCTTACTGTTAATTAAAATACAGTGCAAAAGTTGTGCAACTAAAGATGAAACATGCATCAACTTTGTTCCTTCTACCATCCTCACGAGATACCAATCAGAGTATGGGAATGTGCAGGTGGACAGTGATAATGTACACAATTTAGAACAAGGATTCTTTATTGATGACAACTTCGTTGACTTTGTATTTTATTACGAGGCTGAAGAAATTAGTGCTGCTCCTTATATTTCAACAGACACACTCTACACATTCAGCTCATGTTTTCACAAAAAAACTTGTCAGTTTCAATCCAAACAGGATACGAAATTGGACAAAGGGTGCGAATATTTTTTTGAAGAAGTATGTTATAATTCCCGTATGTACAGGTACACATTGGATGTTCGTAATTGTCAAGATGAACCATGGTGATGGCGTCTCGATCATGATTCTAGACTCAGCAAATAGGCCTTCTATTTGTTTCGAACAAATACATTGTCCATCAGTTGACTTTTTAGTTAAAAACTATCTGCAGGATGAATGGGCTGCCAAAGCCATACACAAAAGAAACAGTAATTTCTTTGGGGAAGTAATCTACGCTGATGTCCCCCAGCAACCAAATGACACCGACTGTGGTGCCTATGTCATGAAATTCTTCTCAGAGTTTTGAAATGCCCTTCCAATTCATTATTGGCCCAGATGGACTCCAGAGTTTACTCATGATGAGGTAAAGTAATTGCATAGAGGCATATAGTTTTTACTTCAACACCTTTCATACAAACAGTCAAAGGACAGAAATCCTAAAGTTACAACTTCTCCATAAATCGACCCTCAGCATCAAGTTTGTAAATGCCATATGCAGCTCAAGAATTTAGAAACCATGAATAATAATGGTGATTTTTGTTTCAAGTGTAACAGTTATGTCTTGAAGAAGGTTAACAGTGACCTTGTCAGCCTCGACGTCTCGAAGCTTGTGAACACTAAAGATGATAAGACAACACTGAGAATGAGGGGCGGCAAACTTCCATTTTTTGCAGTGCAAGCAGTGACAAGTTCAAGAGAGAAAGGTCAACAGAAACAACCCCATGTGAATATCAAGCCATTAGCCATGACAAAAGCCTGAACGACAATAAAATAAATTGCTGGTTGAACTTGTGAACTGCACAAGTCCTTACACTGAAAATTAAACTTAATGTTAAATTACTTCTGACAGGGACTGTCATGATAGTGTGCATGTGTGAGCTGTGACAGTAGCTGATTGTTTTTAAACCAATCGAAAGCAAGTAAGATGCAGGCAAGGAAATTTACAAAATCAAAAGTCATTGTTCGTGAAGTGAGAGACTTCAGGACATGTTTGTTCGATTTTATAGATCCCCATAATTCATATTTATTCTCTGGTATTTCTCCGATATATGTTGCAGGCGATAAGAATAAGAATAACAACCCTGTCCTGCTTTGAAACAAACATTTACCTATGTGTAATTTTACGTACCCATGCTAGCAAACCAGTCTCTGATCTGCAAACAAAAATAATTTGTAAACAAACCTTACTGATCTTTCTGTTTGCCCTATATAACTTAGAAAAACCTGCAAATAGCGCCTGACCAGTGACCAAACCACACAGAAAGTGCACAGCCAAGTTGTAACCCTGTAAGTAAGAAAACTTCACATGGCCAAAACTTCTTTAAATGATCAAGCACTAGAGTGGAAGAGGAGGATGGTGCTGTGGACAATAACGACCAAGAGTGGAGCCTAACAGGAACGAGTTTAGAGGAAGAACAAACCACAAAAGACAAGGAAGAAATACCAGAATTAAATGCAAATAATATAAAGTATGAATTACCGTCTGTAGTTCAATCTTTGGTATTCTTTGAAAAGCCCAAAGGGTTAGCTTCTTGTGACAAGTTTCTTCCTGCTTTCACTTGAAAATCAGGTTGTTGCTTTTTGTGTTTGTTAAGTAGTATTTGTTTTTTATGGCTTCAGTTGTTAAAGTACTAATTTAATGTTGAAAAAAAGTACCATACTTTGCTTTGGATCGTTACTTACGTTGAAACTTTCAAACTTGTGAGGCATGAATGATTGTCTCTTTGGATAGGGGAAAATTGAAACTAAAATATTATATATTAGTATATACACACTCAGTGATCTTGGTAATTCAAGCAATCCGATTGGTTAGCTATCTAGGACTATGACGTTATATTCACCACGCTAGGCAGTGAATATAAAGCCGAACAAAATCACTGTCGTGAACTGGGTGTTTTGCCAAAGTTTCAAAGTAAAACCTTTTTGAAAATACACGAGTATCCAAGTGCTGATGACTTTGAAGGCAAGAAAAGACTTCATGGTGTTTAAACAGCGTGATTTATTGTGAAGTGGTTTACTTTAGCTGACTTTTTGTACGCTC